CGTTATGTAGATGGTACAAGCGCATGCAACCAACAAAGCTGTATTGTCTTATCTTGCCAGCAAGAACAAGATTGCTCATCCTAAGGACATCACCAATCTTCGTCAGCGCATCTTCAACAACGACCCAGATCATGCAATGTTCCAGCTGATCAAAAAGCTTCAAGAAAACGAGTACGAAGTCCAATGGAAAGCAAAACAAGAAGGCGACAAACGCTTTTTGCAGTCTCTCTTCTTTGCGCACAGATCGGCAATCGCACTCGCTCGCCAATTCCCGGAAGTTGTTACCTTGGACGCCACTTACAAGACAAACAAGCACCGGTTGCCATTTATCAACATTGTTGGAACTGGCAATATTGGATATCCCCAATTGATGACTTTCTGCATTGCTGGCTGCTGGGTATCAGAGGAAAACAACGACAGCTACGATTGGGTGATTCGCAAGCTTCAAACTGTCGTTTGGCCACTTGCTCAGGTTTCGTCCCCTGGTGTGTTTGTAACAGACAGCGAATCTGCTTTGACCGGTGCTCTCGACCGCGTTTTTCCAACGGCGAAGAAGATCCTATGCAAGATGCATATACGACGCAACTTCAGGGTCAACCTACGCAAGCTTTTTGATGTCAAGGACTATTACGAGGAACTCGAGAAAGCTATCAATTTTTTAATGGCTAGTGAGTATCAACCACGATTTCGAACGAGAGGCTCGAAGAATAGGCAATGAAGATGTATGAGGAGGCTGCTCAAAAAGCAAAAAGACCCGACGTTGTCATGGACTATTTGCAAAGGTGTGTACAATTGAATAAGCATGGATTTTTTGACTACATGCTACTTGGACTTAAACACGTTTCTGCGTTATACAGAAAGCTTGCTTCAAAAGACAAGTGGGTAGGCAATTGCCTCACTCATGTAAAGCATTTCGGAAATGACAGCACAAATAGAGTCGAAGGAACGCATGCCAACATGAAAAAGGCAATCATGTCCTCAAGTGGCAATCTCCTAACTGCCTTTACGCAAATTGACGAGTTTTATCGATTGAAGGTTTATCTCTTATAGTAATTATATTGATCCATTAGTGACGAGGCTCTTACATGCTTTCTTCCTTATATTAGAACTTGAATTGGAAGCGCCAGATCGACAAGGAAAGTTTTGGCGGAAACTCGCACATCCCACCACAGCAAAAGCAGCGTTTGGCAGCTTTGGAACGTAAAATTTCCAAGTTCGCTTTCTACACCATCCGCGACGAGCTAACAGTCAATAATCCGTTAAAGACTGATCACTGCCGATGTGCAATCAAGTATCATTATGATATTCCGTGCTGCCATGTGCTTCCATCACAGGGTGAAATCCCCTTAAGCTTAATTCCCAGACGCTGGCACCTTTATCCTGAGAAAACGGCATCTCAAGGTAGCCATGGCTGTTATGTAAAAGCTGTTATATTTGTAACGTACAGTATCTGATTTTTGTTGTTATTAGGAGAACCAAACACAACGAGCAATAGCAATAGCAACAGTTTGGCGATGACTGGTTCATTTACAGCCCCAAGCCTGGAATCGCAAATCGAAGGAGAGCTCACACGCCTCAACAATCTTGTACACCGCTTTCCAGATAATCAACAACGTGCAACTCTCCTCGCGCACCTACAATCTATCAATGATGATATGTTCATTGACGTTGAGCAGCTTCAGCAGCCAAAATCAATCCCCAAAAGCACTCAAAAACCACAAAACAGCAGCAACAAGCGTGAGCTGATCGCTTTAGAGCATCAAGACTCTTAAAGCCGAAAGAAAGCAAACACCGACATTGGTCGTGATGCTGCAGCAATATGGTAAAGTTTTATGCATTAAGATGTATAGCCAATTCTTTACTTAAATTTTTAATATCTATAGGAACGGAAAGATGGAGCCAACAATAGCAAATGAAGCAAACAACATGGCGCTCACCATCCCTCCTCCTCCAAAAATTCGCTTTGTACCTAACCTCAACCTTGTTTGCAAATGGATTCCTCCACCAGCTGTTGAATTGGTGCATAATCCCATGCCAGACAGTAACTGTGGCTTTCGGGCCTTAGCTGTTGAGCTGTATAACACAGAGGAGCGATACGTCGATGTCAAGACCAAGATGCTCGATCAGTACCTCTCCAACGCCAATACGCTTTACCAATACTATGACAAGGGTCGTTTACTAAAAGTACTCGATCCATATTCAAGTGAATGGTTCGTCTCGCCTGAAAGCAGTCAAATTGCCGCTGATACGTTCGAAATGCCAATTGTTATAGATGGCGCACAATCGCACATTTTCTTCCCTTTAACAACCAACCCAGTACACGCCAAGCGCACCCACCCAATCGTCCTACAGCTTATTGGAACCACTTCATACTCGTTATGACCAAAAACGACGCAGCTATCCAGTGGCCTGAAATATTCCCTGAGGGTCGTGGACCACACAAAAGCATTCGCGATGATCCTTGGTATCCCCTTTTTGAAGATTCTTTTGAACGGTCTATTCGACCGTTTCCCGCGATTCCCAATGACGAAGAAGTGCATCCCATTCACGCATCTGATTCTGAGGGCGAAGACTTAACCACCTGTAACCGAAATAATTAATCAGCTATTTGACACTTGATCCTCTTACTTTTTCGCTACCTTTCTTACTTTCCCTGTCACTTTCTCTTTTTTAATTCTTTTTGCCAACACCTTATACTTAGACTAATAGACGAATCCTGTATCAATTTTCTTTATGCATTCTGCCAATTCTTTTCAGTCAAAAGGGTGTGAGGGGGTGTGCACGAAAGAAATGTCAGCGGGGTGTGTGTAACAGAAATCCTATCTGGGTGTGATTGGGGGTGTGCATGAGGGGGTGTGCAAATAGACCTGCCCCATGTTTGGAGTGTGTCCTTAAACATGCGCCAATTTTTGCGCGGATTGCACGGATTGCGACGATTGCGAGGATTTTTTCCCGTGGTGTATGTAAGGGGCGCGTAAGTTTACCAAAGGTTCCAAGTGTCTAGAAGAATATGAGCAAGATGGATATGGAAGAAGAAAAGCAGCTTGAGAGAATGTGTGATGCTGCTAAAAAATGTAGGCTTGATGCTCACCAAATCTTAAAAGCTTGCATAAAGTTACATCGCCCAACTCAGAACTAAAAGAAGCTTGTTGAGCCGACAGATCCAGAATCCAAAAACCTTCTGGATTCCTTGGTTTAAGAGATAGAGGTTAATCGATCCGGTTTGTTTAAATACGAACAAATAACAAGAGCGTATCAACATATGCAACAGGAGTAACCTGTGAGTCCAGGTATGTCTAAAGCCGCCATGCCATGCAATTTTCGACGACAAACTGTTTGATGAGAAGTTGATATGTACCGAAACGTGAAACCATAGCAACTTGGATGGCGTGGTCTATATGTATCGTGAGATCGCTTTCAGTATAGATTTTTTTGGCGCGCAAATCGTGTTGAGTTTTATCCTAAACCACGTCATATTGAGAGGTGGAGAGAAGGAGACACAAAGCGTACAAACTGAGCATAGGTAGATTTTTTTCTACTATTCTACGGGTCACCGATTTGTGGATAGCATGAATTACAGAGCTGATGACAAATGGTCGGTCATCAAAAGCAAGGTGCAGTGAGCCTGCCATAAGCCATGAAAAATTGCTTCGATTATAATGTGAGTACAAGTGCTCAGTGGATCCGGTGGAAATTGTAGATGGAAAACAGCTGCGTTGATTTGTGCATCGTTAACAGACACCAGCAGAAGGTCACGCCAGACAGACCGCCATACGCGCCAGATTTTTTTTGGACAGTCGGCAAGGAAGTGGTGAAGATCGTCAATCCCATGGACGCACACAGGACATTTGTTCGAGTCAAATTCGACTGGAAAAAGTCGATGTAGCATACCACGGCAAGATAGTTTTTGGTGAAGTGCCCAAACCCAGAGGTTGCGCACAGGTACAGCCATAGAAATTGAGCAAAAGCGCCTCCATTCTTGTTTGGACAGAAATCTGGAAGTACTGAGACTGGGTGTAACTGGATTATTGCTTCTATCCAGAAGCCTTCGTGGTAGCTTCACAAGAGCCAAGATCACCAATTTTGCACCAGCGGACAAGAAGCTGGACATTATAAGGTGCTGTTGCTGTCTCAAATCTGTCTGCCACAAATTAAAACTGAAGCAGGCGCGATAGAAGGCAGCATAGTGTAAAAGTTGTCCCAAGTCAAGCAAAGAGTAGAGGCTGGAAATGTTGCGAGGAAAACGTTGTAGTTCATCCCTTGTTTTCCATTGTTTTTCATCTCAGGTATAGGAGTCTAAGGTCGAGGATAAAGATATCTGACACTAGGATTCGATGGCTTGCTAGTGCCATGAGTGACTTATGGACTGCCAGAGTATGCTTTCAATATTGGGCGACACAAGCTAGAGGTCTCAAAGAATACAACCACTAAGAGAGATAGCAAACAAACATTTAGTTTCCACGTTAATAAAAACACATCTTGCTTCCCAGCACATTTGGCTTACCCTATTTGTAATTAACGCAGTTGAAAAGAGCAAATAAGAAGGGGACAACAATTGGACCACACAGAGACCACAATGCGTGGGAGCCCCACGGGCCACTTCTTGCTTCTTTCCCCTTATTCCTCACTTACTTCTAGTCAACCATAATGACTAGGATCGACGAACTTGTAAATGTCTACTTTGACGCAAATCACGTTGCTCGCAGACGTCAAGAACGCATGTTATATCTGACGCTGTCAAATGGTCTAATCACAAAGATTTTGGGCTGAACACCATTACTACCAAAGATCTCCGTCAAGCCATTATCAAGCAGTTTACCGTGGACAACAGCTGTTAGAATACAGCATAAAATATCATACGGGATTTATAAAATAGCCAGCGGTACAGTTATTCACATTTTGAAGTCGAAACATTGAAACAGTGTTTGACGAGGCTACTAATTTACGGTCTTTCTATACCCTTGACGGTCAGCTAAATCAACGATTCAAATATTCCTACCAACAAAAGCATCTAATACAGCATTAAGACGCTTAGGAAACAAGTCTTTTTGGAACGATGCACGAGTGGAGCCGCGAAAAAAACAAAGCGTTTGAAGGGAAAGCAAGCTTCAGGTGCTATTGAATCTGTGATTTCGGCAACTGATCTTATGAACGATGCTGGTCAAAGAGCTGCAACCGTATAACAGTGTCGACCCAGATACTTACAATCGGGAACGTGAATGGGTAAACAGTGTGATACAATAAATAAGGTGAGACCTGGATATATCAAAGGACAAAACGATAGGGATCTACATCATACTTCTATCTAGAGTATCCACGCCTATTGCTACTCATTCAACCATGCGGTTGACCGCAAGTCATCGTATTGTTTGAAACATGCGTTGTCGATCGTCAACCATGCAGGTTGGATATCGTCGTAACGGTATGCACCGTTACAAACCGCAACTTGAAGAAAGTCGATAAACGTAAACGTCCTGGATTCTCAACCAATGATGGTACGCCACTACAACGACAATGACAACAGCAAAATCAACAAGAAGACCAGCACGATTGGGACATTTTATGGACGATCCATTCATCGATTCTACGCCGGAGGATTGCATTCGATCGGCAGTGCTAAAGTTCAAGTCGGCATATACTTATCTCCACGATTTACACAAGCAAGAGTAAGTTAAATATGCATTAAATAAATATATTTGCTCGTTTATTAATATAATATACAACAAAATGTTTGTTGTATTACGGCATAGTTGACTTGATACAACGTCATCAACCAAGTTATATCAGGCAGCTGTTAAAAGCGACATCGAAGATGTTAAGGCTGTCAATAGGAGAAATAATCGTCGTATGAGAGCAGCAACGGATGTAGACCCAGAAAGGGCGAAAGAGTTCGTCGAAAAGATAATGCGAAAGTGGTAAGTTAAAAGGATTTTTAGGTGATGGGTGTGAAGTGATAGCGTCGTATACGATTTCTGTTATTTATGATGATGGAATTGAACGTATGTGTTTCCAAAAGACCTGTTCTAATGTTCAGCTATTGTAAATGCATACCGATGTTCAAACGTCCTTTACCTAATGAAAAATCCTATAGTCGTTGCGGTTGTCAATTAGATCAGCAAACGTCACATCAAGAAAAATGATGATGCGTAGTCTAGATCATTGAAAAGATCACCATTGATGAAAACCAGCAACAGCAAGCAGTGAAATATCTTACTGAAGATAACTTTACGTTCGGTTTCTTTGCTCCTTGGCAGAAGGATTTGCTCTTGAATGCCAAGTTTATTTCTCTCGATGCCACTCATGATGTCAGCCAGTAATCTGATGGTATTTTATATACCATGGTTATCCGCCATCCAGTTGCCTACCTCTTCACTGATACCACCGCCTCTGCTCCCCTCGGTGTAAATCCACGTCGCATCACTATTGACTGCAGCCTACCGGAAAGTGATCAAAGTGTTGAAAGACTAGTAAGTACTTTTAGCAGTACTATTTTTCCTTTTTGTATTTGGTGTAATACATATAAAACTAATGCGTTACAATTTAAACAACAGCCGAGATGTATGTGATGACAAGGGATCTTCATCCATGTTGAAAAATCAAAGTGAAATGAACTATATTTCGACTTTTCTTGCGCCTACGATCAAGAAGCTTTTCAAAGGATATGATAACATTGAATTCATGTGGTATGCAACTATCCGATTATTCCCTTCATTATCGATACTTTGAATTCATCTTCTGACATAATCATTACTTTTCATTATTCGTATAGGAGTGATACAGCTCTTGCTGCATCGAAAGAAGAAGAATATGCTGCACAAACGGATGATGATACCAGATCGAAAGGAAGAATTCCTGATGGAGTGTTTACTTTGAAAGATTATTACATGGATTTTTCACTCGTCGAGATCAGTGGACCTCCCAACACCAACAACCATCAGCATCATATTGGGGACCGGAATAAGCTGGCAAAAACTTTAAACAACAGTTGAAGTACAATCACCGACGGAGATGACGATCCAATAAAAGCCAGACCAGTCGGCCAACAGAGGACTCTAGAAAGTCCAATTGCTCAACCCTTAGAGCCAATCCTTATCCCGAAGTTACGGATCTATTTTGCCGACTTCCCTTAACTACATTGCTCTATCAACTAGAGGCTTTACACCTTGAATACCTGCTGCGGTTTGAAGTATTCAACTCTTTGAAGTTCAAGTGTATGGTAAATATCAGAGTGATATGTATGTTCAAGGTAATTCGAATGCCCCTGAGATAATACTGATCGTGTAATGATACACATAACTTTATGTTTATTCATTAGCAGAACCGGTACGAGGTGTTTATGTATTTGATCAAGTGATGGTATTCCAATTGCTATGTCCTATTGGCATGATAACAACGTTCATGCCCAAGTTAGTAAAAGATCTATGGAAACTGAAGGTATCATATAAAGTAAAAATTCTCTCATTATTCTGCGTCTATTTTGTGCTCATTTTTTACTAAACACAAATGAACAGCAATTTATCATTGGTAGCTCTCTTACCGTTACGGATTATTTGAATAGTGATGGAGGGAACAACAGCAGCGACTGTTCGACTGATTCAAGAGATATAGTCTATATTTCACCTACCAAGAGATCCAGGAAGAAACGGGTTGAAACTTCGTCATGAATACGTGGTTTATTAAGGATTGATAGGATATGGCAGCAAAGATTAGGAGAATGTATAATTTTAGCGCTCCAATTATATGTCACATTCATCAATAATATAGTTTCTTTCGTTGCGTTTATATACCGCTCTTACATGTAACTATCCATCGTCGTCACTGTTTTTAAATGTTCCAAGCGTGCCACAGCCTATGTTTGTATACTGAGTATGGTAATACTTTTGTTTTAAAAAAATTTCCTGTCTCTGTGTCTCTTTACAGTAGCCGTGGCAGTCCGTCGACGTAAATAGCATGGCTATTTGAGAAACCAGTGGGGGAAGCTACTCTGGAGATGGAGCGGGCGCCAGCAATATTTTCGACAAATAAACAATTCGCACGGACGTTGATACACTGCCGAGTCTGAATCCAGCATTATTAGCATGTGTTTATCCCACAACAGGCAGTCCCACTGACGCCCTCATATCTAGTAGGGCCTCGCCTCCAAGCAAACCTGGATGCAGCATTTGCATCAACGATCCATGGACGCTGAGGCAAATATCAGGCCAAGTTCGGATTCTTTCAGAGACTTTCCTCTAAAACGGACTGACTTACATATGTCACAGGAGAATGCAACTCTATTAGATCAAGCAAAAGGATCTACTCAACAAGCAAGTCATCGAAAAACACAGTGTCAGCCTGTGCACGTACCCGGTATGGGGCTGCATTTATTGGCTCTCCATGCAACGTCCACATAAGACAAGAAGGGCACACGTCCGCCCATGCATTGTGACCCGATTGTTGACCGTGGGTGGCCCGATTGTTGTCCCCTTCATTTTTGCTCCTTTCCACTGTGTTGATTACGAATAGGGTAAGCCAAATATGTTGGGAAGCGAAACGTGTTTTTGTTAACGTAGAATCTAAAATTGATTGCCAGCTCTACACTGTAAGCGATCTTACGATTAATGTAGACCACGCCATCTGAGTTGCTATGGTATCACGTTTCGTTATATATCAACTTCTATGGTGGCTTACAAGTCATACCTTGACTCAGACGTTACTCCTGTTGCATATGTTGGTACGCTCTTGTTATTTGTTCGTATATTAAACGGACTGGATCGATTGACCCTCTCTTCTAAACCAAGGAACATTGGAGGTCTGCTGATATCATACTGGATCTGTCGACTCAACAAGCTTCTTCTAGTTTTGAGTTGCGGTGTAACTTTATGCATGCTTTTAATTTGGTGATCTAAAGCATCAAACCCACCTTTATTAAAATCATCACACATTCTCTCGAGCTGATTTTCTTCTTCTTAGACAGTTGGAACTTTCGGTAAACTTACGCGCCCGTTACTTAACTCGATATAAACGGGCTCAATGCATCGTAGCCACGAGTTTGCCAGACCAGGTCGTCAAATGGACCGTCTTTATTTTTGTTGGGCATTTTGTACGATTTCCTCAGGAAAGTATGTCAAATACACACACACACACACATATATATATATATATATATATTGTCGTGTAAAGTGGTAAACCGAAAGTAGCGGTGATGTGCAAAAGCGAAATCACGACAGCAGTGGGTAAACTTTTGTCATGCTTCCCGTTTTTTGTGCCTCTTGTCAGACCACTAACATAACCGATCTACTTATAGTAGGTATGTAACATTCCTTTTTCACCCCTATGTACAGTATCGACGAGGCGTCGCCATAGCAACTGATGTGCAATTAGAGTTTTTTATCTTCTTCGTTCATTACCTGTCTTCCTTTCCAGTATTTATAACATTTCTACTATGGATTATTCTTTTGACCCCCTATTTTTGGTAATCACTAGCGTTATCCTTTCAGACATCATGTCGATATATGACTTTCTGGAATGCTTGTGTCTGTGCAATCTATAGTCTGACAAAATCCATACATACGCGTCAGTTTCATGGCGTTGGATCGATGTTAATATCCGTACAAGGAAGAGTGTGCATCATGCTTCTCAGCCCCAATATCAGAAATGATCAAGTACCCTATGGGATGTTGGAAGACGCATTGAGCCCATTAAGATCGATTTATGTATGTAACGGGCGCATAAGTTTACTGAAAGTGTCTAGGAGAATATGAGCAAGATGGATATGGAAGAAGAAAAGCAGCTTGAGAGAATGTGTGGTTGTTGCTGACCAAATCTTAAAAGCATGCATAAAGTTACATCGCCTAACTCAAAATGCAGATTTTGTCATTTCTTACAGCACAACACTGTACTGGTGGGTCTATTGCCAGTTCGTGTACGACTTTTCGCTGTTGCTAAGCATAATTACAGTGCTGAAGTGGCCTTGAAAAATGTATGTATCAAGGAGAAAACGAATTGAGTATCTGACAGGGTATGTATACATTCATACAAGTATTATCGGATATGGCCCGTTATATGCAGTAAACATATACACTTCAGAAAAGAAACAGCGATTCTATTTCTCCATTATTCTTTTGTTATCCTCATCATAGTTCTATGAGCCTCTGCCGTCCAATCCACCACCTGTTGCAGATAGAAAAGTAGGATTACAGCAACAGCAACTTCAGCCGCAACCAATCCGATCCAAAGGCCAAACACGGACCAACCGAGAATGAAAGCAAAGTAATAGCATAGAGGAGCACCGACCAAAAAGTACGACACCAAAGTCACCAGTGCTACTACTCGTTGACGGCCCACACCGTACGCTGCTCCAGTCGCAAGAAAACTCCAAGGCGTAACAAGCTGACCACAGCACACCACCGGTATGGTCTGAACGATGATCTGTACAGTATTCTTGTCGGTAGTATAGAAATACGGGTATCTGTGTCGGCACGCCATCAGAATTGTAGCGCACGTGAGACCACCTGTCATTGCTAGGCAACAACCAACCCACATGGCACGCTTGGTATCTTTTAAACTGCCCATGCCCATTAAGTTGCCTATACGGGTTGTCATGACATGTTTTAAGGAAGCGCTAAAAGACAGGAACGCAACATTGGTGCTGACCAAGACAAAATGAGCTGCTAGCAGTGCAGAGGATGATGTACCATCATCACCACCAGTAGTAAAATGGGATGCGGCCAAGGTGCATAGTTGAGGAACGGCTAGTTGAAGCAGCAAAATAAATGTGCTGGGGACCAAAAGTCGTATGATCGGTGCCCATCCGTATAGGCATTTTCTGGTCCACCCACCCCAGCCTTGTGACCCAGCAACCCAACGACTGTAGATAATCATGAAGATAAAAATGCCTGCTGCAGAGATAGTTTCGGCCATCCCAGCGCCTTGGATACCCAAGTTCATTGGAAAATATGCGCCTTCCTTGCCACCGCTCACTAAAATGTAGTTTGCAGCAATGGTCAATGGAAGTCCTGCGAGAGCTGCTGCATACAATCCTACGCGCATAATTCCTTGAGCTTGTAGATAGGCGCAAATCATACGTGATCCCCCGAATAACAAGCTTTCCGGTATGCAAAAAAGCAAATAAGTGCCTATAATATACGAAAACAATTTGCTTCACTAAACATCTTATAGTTCCGTTTTCAAACTATATTAGCGGTAAGAATGCGAGGAAAAGCATGCAAGATCTTACGTGCATAACGAGCAGCCTGAATATCTACGAATCCTCCATGTCGTAGCAATGCCAAACTGACAAACCAAGCCATATAAATAGGTACTGCGATCACCATGAAAATACAACAAGCACGTTGAAGCTGCAATCCGATCGCTTTCTTGTCTTGGGCACCCGTCCAGAATTGTCCACATAGAGTATCTAGTGCGGAAGCCATTGCAAATGATAAACACATGATTGAACAACGTTCAATCATTTGCGCCAGAGACATGCCAGCTAGTTCATTCGTTCCCTGATTTGCTTACAATTTTGTTAATGGACGCCATTATTACAGTATTATTATCTATCATTGTATATGTATTCGTATTTACCAAATGACCAACGAAAGAAACTGTGATCAAGCCGGCCGACGCTTGGATGAATAGGCCGCTCATTAATGCCAAGACGCTCCAACAAAGCCAATGGAAATGGGATGAATACGATTCGGGATAATGCTGATGTCTCTGATCTTCATGATAGTCAGTAGTAGCTTTTTTAACACTACTGTTATCTCCAACCAGTGATTTATGAGAAGACATTGCAGGAGGAGGAGCTGTCAACAATGCAACAGTTTCATCGTCATCGCCGTTGACGTCATCTGCTAAGTATTTTCGCTGTAGTTTATAAAACCACATTATCCATCGAATCCAGGGATGTATACGATACGAGAGTTGGTAAAATAAAATCTGAAAAATGAAGAAAGTTGGTGGCAAATTAACAATAAAGGAAAGAAATTTATGAACAAAAACGAAATAGAAAAAGAGAAACACATGATGCCATATGCACACATTGTTCATAACTTGACCGGGATAAACAAAATATGCTTCACCATTGATGCAACAGCACTATTGGAGTCTTTCGAGTGTCACTCCGTACCAATTGCCAAGTAGCGCTAGCAAACCGGCTCGCCCCCTTAGTAGCGATAGTGAACGGTGTATTCAACAGGAGAGGATTACCCCTGCGGCACGGGACTTGCTGTCAGTCCAGAAAAACACGGATATATACGACTATATATGTATGAGAGTGCGCGATAGTCGCAAAGGTTTAAGCGACATTGTACCTAAGCATTATCTCTTTCAATCATAGATATAGCAAGAGTATACACATCACAGACACTCGACCTATTTTCCCTTTGATTGTTGCAGTAATGTATAGTTAGTCAAAAAAAGTAACATGACGAGATCGGTCTGGTAGCGTCATGATACGCCAGTGTGTACATACAGTAGCAGTTTCGCACACATTGTTTTTCTAATATTAGCATTTGTGCAGAAGATAATTTTCAGAGTTCCCCACTTCTTTGCCGTTGTGATGGTAGCACGATCTTTCTAATATATCTTATGTACTGTCAACCACTTGTAGATAATTTATAGAATAGCCATTTTACCTGAGTTACTTAAACTACAAACGGGCTTGACCCTGGAAGCAAAGCCCAATCTGATCGGGACAACAGGTCCATTGTTACACTCCCCCTAGTAGTGTACGGTATGTCTTTTTCTCTCAAAAGGAGAAAGGGGGTTCCTTGGCGGTTTTCCTTCCCCATGGAATGTAAAACCAATGATGTTTTCATCGTTGCGCCGTAGAACTTTTGCTACAGGTAAATGCAATTCGGACGCCTCTGCAAGAAAGGTCTTTAGCATTATCTCCGATACAACTACTGGCAGTAGGCGATTGGTAAAGCCAGCGAGGAGCTATAGGGTGGTCTGGAGGAATGGAAACATCCCAACTTGGAAACTATACATTGGGGTATATCATATTATACTGGTGGTAATAAAGCATCCTCTAATGTCAGCTTTGTAGTATGAAGGAATCAAGTAATCAAAAGAAGTAGATGAATAAAAAGTTGCTGCTGGGAGTCGAAATGGGACGATTTATTGATCACATTTCGGCATCGTCCTGGTGAGGATGGTAAGTCCCTCCTTTACTATCTCAACTAACATATAGAAAAGATCTTGTTTCGATACTATAGCTGATGAGCCAGTAGGTTGCATTATTACTAAGAACTATAAATCAATCAGGTGCAAATTGCAGCTTCGGTAGTACTCGAACAGAAAATTTTGTGCCGCTTTTCCCTGCTCTTTGCATGTTAAGACATATGATATCTGCATCAACATATTACTAAGGGGAAACTATATACAGTACATATAGGTCATTTGAGAGCTGCTGTTTGTGCTGCTCCGGCTTGGCCTCGTCATAAGTTCGAATCTTTTTATGCATGGATAAGACCAAGCCAGTAATAATGGTGGTGATGATGACAAGTAGATTTCAAATTGCCGGATCGAGAATTTTTTTTCTCTTTGCTGTTGTGGCGCCGAGCATGTTCTCAGTGATGATGCAAATTGTTGATATACATATGTACTTGCGACTCCTATTGTCGAAACTAATCGGTATACATAGTGATAATATGTAGCCGGGGGAAAGTATAGTCAAGAGCCCGGAATATGTTTTGCATCATCATTGTATTTTTTCCGAAGCTACTATTACTATTACACTGACCAAATACAACTGATATGTAATAAGGTAGCAATGGTGAGAAAAGGGAAACACATCGTTTGGAAGCAAGAACAACAATGACCTGCAATATAATAGAAACTATATGGTTACATACGACACAAAACGAAGAATTAGGAGTAAAGTACACACATATAATCAGTTCGATCATCCTTTGTTATTAAGATATTCCCTGAATGAATTGCTTGATAATGCACAATAGCAAACATAGAATAAAAACATTGAGATCAAACTGTAGTTCTATATTAGGCAGTAACTAAAAGGAGTTAGCGACAGACGGACATCTTTTGACAGCCGGACAATAGCACAAGTGTAGTAGATAATGGTGTGAGCCAAGAAGCTACTCAGTAATGCAAGTTTGTGTAGAACGGTATGCGAAAGTGGTAATAATAGCATTTGTAATCATAGTAGGTTAGTAACGTGCATGATATTCATATAGATAGATTATCAATTTTGCTTTTACGGTACTAAAGCCGACATCGTTGCCGACGAATATGTAATAAAGACCGTGCACAGCAGGATGTATTTCTGTACATTAAAGATCTTGGCTCTTCGGCTTCATGCATCGATTTGAGTGCAGGGCCTACATGAGTCCAATATATTGTTTCTCTCCTTATGTTTAGTGTCCCAAAAGCTCGGGAAAAAGGCGGCCCGATAGGACCTTCAAAATGTATCAGCGTGCTAAAAAAAGAAACTGTACTACAATCTTGGAAGCGGAAAATCAAAAAAGTGAATCGCTTTATGGGGAGATCTTCTACACAGGCACGCACACACGTGAGAAAGACCAGTTATTGGGCGGTGAGTGGAGTTGGGATGTTGTGATCATTGTGTTTCATCGGCCATTTCCAATCGATTACACCACACATAAACATTAACATGCGGCGTGCGTCCATCGGTTGATGGGCGGCGTATGGTGAGGCGCAAACACGCATCATACAAACACGAAACACAACGCGCGGGCACATGAATCACACACTTGGTGCGCAGATCGGAGAGAGATAGAGAGAGGGAGAGAGAGGCTGACTTGATCACTGTGGCGAATTAGTGTTTCTTGTCTTTCTTTGGTCTGGCCTGGACTGTGCGCACGCACAACACATTCCTTTCCCTCCTCTCGCCCTGTATAACAAAAACATGCATAACTCCTTCATCACACCCATTCGACCCCCCCCCCCCCGAGAGAAAAAGAGAATCGACGACAATGACAATGCTGATTCCAAGCGGTTTAAACAAATGCAGTGTCACTCTATTCGTCTGCATTGTGTCCTTTTTTCACGCCCGTTGTATCATGGACCCACTTGGTTTGCACACACGTGGGACCATAGGCGTGCACCTCGCTTTGGCTCGGCAAAAAAAGGCAACACGCACACACTCGCATACTCCAAATAATCCGCAAAAGCAGCAGCAGCAGCAGAAGCAGCACCAGCACCAGCAACCCAAAAAAAAGGAGTTGACTGCAGCTAGTGCTTGCGCTCTCTGTCCTTCTGTATAATAATATAGTTACAATAAAAAATGGCAATATCACCCAAAGAAACTTGGTTGTTCTGGATTCTGATGGCGGTTGTAAGAGAGTAGAGAGAGCGTGTGTGTGTGTGTATGTGGTCCCTGAAAATAAGGGCAGAAGAAGAAGGGGTATGTATCGACATATACACATCTGCTTGTGCTTGGGGTGTGTCTGTATACACATACAGAGTGAGAGGTTGCGTGTGTGTGTGTGTGACACACTGAGTGTGGCTTGTGCATCGTGCCAGTCGTTTCGTTCACATCTCTCCGGGCTCGTCCGTCGTCCTCTTTGTTCGCCCGCTCTGTCCACCGTTCCTTTCCTTTAATCCCTTTCAACCCGCACACCCCATTTTACAACGCTGCGCCCCTCTCTCTCTATATCAACAAATTAGCAACTACTTCCGTTCTTTTTTTCCTTTTCTTTCTTTTTCTTTTTTGAATTCTCCCCTACCTGTTCAAGTGCTCGTGCGTGCGCGTTTAAAACAACAACAACAAAAACAACCCAATTTCAAAAACAAATTGCCCTTAACACGATGCCTGGCGATGAGGAACAACAACACCAACAAACACCTTCGCAGTCAGTACCACCTCCAACGCCATCGCAGCAACAACAACAAGCTGTAGCCGTACAACCACAGCCGCTACCACCTTCACAGCAGCATGTGCCAGCTTCGTCGTCGTCGACGCAATCCGGCGGAGGGGATCCGCAACAGCCGCGAAAAAAACGCGCCAAGATTGTCAGTGCATGTGGAGAATGTCGTCGTAAAAAGACAAAGTGCAATGGCGAACAACCGTGCCGTAGCTGTGAGAAATCAGGCGTGCCTTGTATCTATCCATCGGCGACCCAGAGCCAGGGCGACGACAAGCGTACGACGCTGAGCAAGGCTGCGCTGGATGCCATTGAGGAGCGGTTAAAGACCATTGAGGATATGTTGAGAGTGATATTGCAGTCGGCTCAGCCGAATGCCGATCTGGATCCTGCCATTGTGAATCAGTTTTTGAACAATACGACACGACCCTCGTCGTCGACGTCTTCGTCTTCTTCGACGTCGTCGCCACCGGCTGCGGCTACTGCTCCTCCACCGCCTTCTTCTTCGCAGCATCCTCATCAACAACAGCACCATCACCATCATCATCATGCTGCTGCTCATCCACCTCCACCTCCTCCTCATCATCATCATCACCACCATCATCCACACTCGTCTCCTCCTTCCGTACATTATCCGCAACCCCATCAACCTTCGCCACTACCACCCCATTATCCACAACAACAACAGCCTCCAACGTCTCAGCATGCACCAGCACCATCACAATCTCAACAGCAACAACAACCGCAATTATCGCCATCACAACAACAACAACAACAGCACCCTCCACCCCCACCTGCACAACATCGGTTATCCGAATATGATATTAGGCTCCCATCGATCCACAATCTCTCGGCTCCTTCGGCCTATCATCCGCATGACGCGGAGATGCCTCCGCCGCCGCCCTCTACAACGTCGTCATCTTCGACGATGCAGGACTATTATCACCATCACCACCAGCATCACCATCGGCCGAGGACACCGTCCATTTCAACGACGACAACGGCGACATCGCCAGCAGCGAGTGCAGCAGCAGCTTCCGGTAGGCCGCCGCCGCCGCCGCAACTGTCATCGTCAGAACAGCAACAACAAGAGGATTTCGGCGCATTCCAACCGGTCAAGAAGCGCAAGAGATGAGCAAAAGGATGGCATATATAAACTATATTTCTATTTTTTTATTTCTATATTACTACTATTATTATAATGGGGTTGTTTTCTTTATTTTATGATGGATTTTCTCTTTTATTTTATTTTTTGAATTGGGAGGACTCGACGTTTTCTCCCCCTATTCTTTCTTCTATCCGAACTATATACTATATAACTTTGTTTCTTTCTAAACCTATATACTTTAGATGTCTTTTTCACTCACTTTCACACACACTCACTGTCACACACTCTCTCTCACTGTCATTCTCAACTCACTCACACTCATCTATCTAAATCTCGCGGATAATATAACGTAGAAGGGATTCCTCCCTCTTTCTTTTCAAACAGGAAGCATTAGTCCTATTATTATTATTATTATTATTATTATATACATGCAAACGCAACAGCGCACAACTTCAAACGCACGTCTGTTTTTTTTTTCGCTTCCATCACGCGCACACATTCAGAACCTTTCTTTATTTATTTCGAGTTTGTAAATAAATATTACGAGAGACAACAGTTTTGTCATGGGGTATATGACTTCATCTGTAACACATGCATTCGCCTTTAAATTATGATTATATTACCAAGTAAATATACACCGCAAAAACGAAAAACACCAGCAGTAGCACTACCGTAGGTTAATAATGACCCAATCTATCGAATAGTTATCAGCACAGTGACTTCTCAAGTCCAGCGTATACAGACAGTAGAGGATTTCGTAATTTTCAAAAGTCCAAGAACTCGAAACAAATTTAGCGACTGGGTAGTAGCCTAGCAACAACCTATTAGCAACCGAGACGTATGATCTAGCAACCAAGTAGCAACCTGGCAACATGTCGTGGGTAAAATGAAAAAGCTGTCATGTTAACCAATCTGTCAAGGTGCCAGACCGCAAAGACGCCGACTTGAAACCAAGCAAAGCCCGAGGCTAGTTAATAATGAGTTACAATGCTGATTGAAACCAAGGTCGTCTTATGATTGGATCGCAGTAAGCCACTGAAAGCTGCTTGAAAAATTAGAATTTCTTTTTTTCACCTTTCAGGTACATACACCCAGCGGAAAGTCCTTTCTCTTTTTTCCCTTCCCTCTCTCTTACATTTCTGCTTCATTCGAAACTATGCCAACATCATATTCAGGTTTGTTTTATATACTTTTATCCCTAATCATAGTATAGTGTGTGCGTGTGTATGTTTGTACCTTTGTACCTTGGCGTACCTTGACACACAAAGATATGGAATCTGATCGTTGCATATATATCTTAAAAAAAACAGATCGATCGTCGTCTAAAGGTGGATTTTCCTACAAGGACGGATCAAAAAAGCGTGATCGTGAGGACAAGTCTTTCGAAGAAGAACAGCCGCAGCAACAACACTTCAAGTTTGACGCCTCTGCTGAACAACAAGAACCCGGTGCCAAGAAGCGCAAGGTCGAGGAAGAACCTGCAGCAGTCGAAGGAGAAGAAGAAATTCCAGAGAACTTGCGATTGACCAGTTTCCGCATTTCTGAGAGCACCATCAAGAACTTGGAGACCCGTGGCATTCGCTCGCTTTTCGAAATTCAAGCGTCAACTTTTGACCCGATCTTTGATGGTAACGACGTATTGGCTCGTGCTCGTACTGGTACTGGCAAGACCTTAGCATTCGCCTTACCTGTGATTGAAAAGCTTTCCTTGGATAACAACAGCACCACCAAGTACGGCCGTGCTCCTCGTGTCGTTGTGCTGTGTCCTACCCGTGATTTAGCCAAACAAGTCTGTGGTGATTTCGAGTCTGTTTCCGGAAACCGTCTGCAAACTTTGCCAGTGTATGGTGGTACGCCGTACAAAGAGCAAACACAAGTGTTGCGCAGCGGTGTGGACGTTATTGTTGGTACTCCCGGCCGTATCTTGGATCACATCAATTACGGCAACTTGAAATTGCACAGCCTGGAATTCGTAATTCTCGACGAAGCTGATGAAATGTTGGACGCTCGTGGTTTCGAACAAGAAATGTTTTCAGTCTTGGACCATATCAAGCAACAGCAAAGCAATGACGGAGAAGGACGCAACTACCAGACTTTATTGTTCTCTGCCACTGTTCCCGAGTCGGTGTTGGAGACGATCAAGCGATTCATGAAGGAGGATTACAAGCGTATTGATTTGGTCGGTAATGCCAAGAACCGTACCAACACCAACATTCGTCACATTGCCATGCCTTCGTCGTATCAAGCGCGTGCCGATATCATTGGCGATGTCGTCAATGTCTATGGCAAGAGTGGATTAACCGTCATTTTCTGTGCCACCAAGGCCGATGCCAACGAGTTGGGCACTCATGAAAAGCTCAAGCAGGATGCTGCCGTGCTCCACGGTGATATTGCACAAACATCGCGTGAATCGACCATGAAAGCTTTCCGTGAAGGCAAGTACCGCTGCATTGTCTGTACCGACGTGTTGGCCCGTGGTCTCGATATTCCTCAAGTCGATCTCGTCATCAACTGTCAACCACCCAAGGATACCGAAAGTTATGTCCATCGATCAGGTCGTACCGGCCGTGCTGGCCGTAAGGGTGTCTGTGTCACCTTCTACAAGCCCCAAGAAGAAGGTCTGTTGCAACACATTTCGCGTCGTACTGGTGTCCAATTTGAAACCATGTCTGCTCCCCGTCCAGAAGATATCATCAAGGCCACGACCGAAGATGCATTCCGACAAATTGACACGGTGAATCCCGAAGTCCTCCCCTTTTTCAAGGAATCCGCACAGCAATTGATTGAAAAGCACGGTCCTGAGAATGCTGTCGCTGCTGCTTTGGCGTTTGTCAGTGGCTACCATCAAGGTATCCCCACTCGTTCGCTCTTGTCATCCATGGAAGGCCGTATGACCCTCATGTTCCAGATCCCATACACGATCAATAACCCAGGTTATGTCCGCAACATCATCTCGCGCGATTTCTCGGAGCTCACCTACGATGATTGTATGGGCTATCGTATGACTCGTGATATGATGGGCGTCGTCTTTGATGTCGTATCAAGTAAGGTTGAGATCAAGGACGATGGACAAGTGTTCCTCGTCGGCAGACCCTACGATGATAGTCGTGGTATCAAGCTTATTGCTCCCAAGGAATTGCCCGAATTGGCCGATCGTCCAAACAATAACGGCGGAGGTGGCTACGGTGGCCGTGGTGGTGGCCGTGGCGGTGGCCGTGGTGGCTATGGCCGTGGCGGTGGTGGCGGTGGCTATGGCGGTCGCAACAACAACCGTGGCTATGGTGGTGGTAACCGCGGTGGCTACGGTGGACGTCGATAGATCTTTACATTTTTTTTCCTTGAATATACCTAATTTGGCATTTTCTCCTTCCCTTTTCTCCTCGCTACAAACACATGCTATACACATACAAAGTTAAAATAGTCTTATTGTTCATTTGCTTGCACACCCTTAGTCATTTCTACACGCATATTGTACACCATCTTTCTTTTCTTATATTTTCTGTATTCATCATATTATCATAAAAACACATCAAGCAACATGCTAATAAACCTCAAAAATCAACACAAGCAATGCTCTCATTTACTACTACAGCGCGAATGAAATATAAGGAAGCCTTTTTTGAGGAACAGTATTAGATCAGAAGCGACTTTTTTTAAAGACGGGATGGTATTTGTTGCTATAATATTCTTCTGGAATTTGGATTTCGGTAAGTACCCTATGGTCTCCTTCGCTTACAGTAGGATACATCTTTGTTATACGAGATTCAATACAAGTTCCCAATGTTGCCGTCCGTGGAGTAACGTACTGCCAAAAAAAAATTCTTTGAGCGCTAATAAAGTGAAACATACAAATTTGCGGCGCATGTCATCTAGTTGTTTCCCAATGTCTTTTTATATATGCTCTGTGCAGCGGTGTCTCGCTGAGAACACCTTTTGTTTTGTCACGCAACCATCCACTGGTTGCCTTTGGCAACCAAAAGCCTTACGCGATACGGACACGATTATAGCATTAGGGCATTTCACGCTCTCGCTTTCAAGCGTCGCTGTACCGGTGTTGGCATTTTCTACGGAAATGACGCAGTCAATTCTCATTTTTCAGCCGTTTATCAGTATATTACACACAGAGCAGTGCTGCGTCGTTACAATGTGTTAGTAGGTTGTATGCGTATGCTTTTCGGGGAGAAATGCTTTGAGTCAGTAGTAGCCTTAATGGATGAAACACTATCGATACCATCCATTTTGGAGTTGATTCAATTCATTTGAATACTACGCTTTTGGCATCTCCTCGTGCACTGGGTTCTCTTTCGTAGAGGAGCTTATAAACAGTATAGATGTTGACATCACCAATGTTAAATCCATTTTTTCCCCTATGGCTGCTGATATACCTGGATAATATGCGCTCACTGACTGATGAACATTGTAAATGTTAAATGGACGAGGAGGCGCATATCTCCAAAAACTGCCAATCTCCACCTTTTGACTCTGGCGACCGGCATGAATTCTTTCAAGTCCAATGTATAGAAGGCATTTCTGACTTGTAAGTTACCTCGCGTGGCAAGGCAAGAGTATGGTGTTGTCTTTCTTCCATATGTTTATGATATGTAGGTTGGTGAAATTGCCGCTTGATCCATCACAGACAAGAACAAGTTGGAGGAACTGTATAGATTTACGAACCAGGTATTATGACCCGTTGTTGTCTTCTATGATTGCGGATACCATGAAGAAAGTCGATTGCGATGGCCGAACAAGGATGGTGATGACAGCACTACCAATCACTCTCTTCAGTCTCTTTGCGAAGACACACTCAAGCTCGCTACCTTGTCGCGCCACAATGTGTTGAATCATGACCATTCTGCTCTCACGTTTCAAGTTGATGGCCATTTTTATAAGCTGAGCTATAATCATTGGCCTATCCATGACAAGACAATGTCTTTTCATTAATGGATACTCATCCATTTCATCAGAAGTACCCTTTAGAAAGCTTGAATAATGCCCTGTTACTGTTTCTATGCTATAACCATCAGTTTGGCGTCCGAGCTTTCATTTTTGAAGACGCTGAGGACTTCTCAAACTAACATTAACTAAGCCAGTGGCAGACATGGCTCCTAAAATTGCGTTTTCAGGCTTACGTACGAAGTATAGCGCACTTCATGTAGGTGCAAAGTATTTCAAAACACCTATGATAGTACGTAATAGAATGCTATTTATGCATTAAAATTATGTCAGAGTAGTTTTGTTGCGTTACAACATACGTTTACATCAGACTATTCAACTCTTGATTCCGATCTCTTTTATATCACTTAACAGAAAGACTCTTGTAGGCATAAATTTTAAGGCTTTTATGTGTTAAACAATGGAAACAACATATGTTTAGAGCTGTTGTTGTTCGTTATCTTTTACAGCTATTTCTTTTCCAGAATCAATGCTGAAAATCACTCACCCTTGCTATCTCTTAGTTCATGTTTGCTAGTGTTCCAATTTCGGTTCCTTTTCGCTCAGGGTTTGTTTGCACAAGGCTGGACGACGATCACAATTGGAGGGACAGATACTCAATTCGGCGCTCATTATCAGCCGTCGACCACGGTTGTATATACAGTGCCTTTAAATGCGATCCAGAGACCAAGTACTTCTCTTGACATATTGCTAAAGCTGATATGAGCTTGGTTAACCTTCACGTACACTGACCGGATCAGTGGCTCAAAATATGATGAAATAGAATTATCAAATACATAGCCTTGAAACTTTCATTATACAGCAAGCCCTACTTGGTTCAAAACAAACGCATGTAATATAAGAGCAAAGACATTGCTGCACCAGTCGTGAGTGAAATTACTGCTGGGAGAAGTCTTGTTCCCAGCACACTTTTCTGTTTTCTCCACCTCTTTCTAAAGTTGATATTTTGCGGCAACTAAAAGACAAGGCATACCAAAATTTAAGCGGGTCGTAATGTATGCCAAAAGGGACCATGTGTTTTGCTAAGTTGGACGTAATGTACAGTCAACGGTGCTACTAACATATAGTAAAGTGCAACTGCAATACTGTAAAGCAGGATATGGTATGGATATCTCTCTCAAGCTCCATTATAACATCACTAACTCGACAACGACAAAAGTTTGCAAAGAGAAGGTCAGAAACACAATGTTAATTTTGCTGTGGAAATAGGCAACAGTGGTGGAAAATTCGCTACGTCTCTCTTTACAATTTTTTTATTACATAACGAAGGCAATGAACGCGTATGCACAAACCCATACTATTGACAAGCATAAGGGACGTAAATCACCAGGAAGCAAAGGTAGTCTAGGAATGAGGATTTCAGGAAGAGCGCAACACAGATCTTTCTTTTTTGGATAGTGACAAAGTGATGCGTGTGTCAAACCTCGAACATTCCAACAGCTTTCCCTTGAAATGAAAACTCCGTAGAGTGAAAGCGCATTATTGTTAAGCAACAATTTGGCCAAATTACTTGGTACTCTCAAAGTGCACAAAGGGATGGCGGGTGAACAAGGTAATCAATGGAACAAAAGGGTCAAAAGATGTACAGTAGGAAGTCATCGTTTATAGTGTTCTTCTTCTGATGGTCCCCATGGATCTTGAACGCTGCTCAAAAAGTACGTAGAACCGCACAAAAACAAACGAACCGATATACTTTGTCAGCAGCAATGAAAAACATTGAAGGGTGAGTCAACTTCACTAGCGGCAGCGTATACTCATCACGAGCGGGTCAACTTATCTGCAGCAGTACATACATACTTGGTTACACGGCGTAGTTCAGAGAACTGTTGGCGGATGGCGAAAATTATAAAGCAACAGTGGACAAGCACGCCTCAAAATAAAAGATAATGGGTCTTCATTATACACTGCAGCGTTGGGGTCAAGTGTGTGTGTGTTGTATCTATTCCCGCACACCGCACATGCAGTCAAAAGATACTAATAAAATGGAATAGTCTGTGGACTACGCTAAACTGTTCACCTTGTTGGGTGAAGAATGGAAACTGGCTGCTGGAAGAATCGTGTCCTTGCTATTTACTAAACAACTGATACCGGATAGCCTTTTAGGTTGTCTACCTTGTCAGTCATTTCTATTTCCGTCATCTTGTTGCTCGCATAAAAGCATTTCTTCCGTGAATCTACATGCTCATTCGCATTCGTGTCTCTGCTTTCGCTTGACACGGTGCCGTGCACGGACCCCCTCACAACCAAGCGGCGACAGCATCGGAGGTACAGCTGCCATAGTGAGAGACACGTACCAGTACCGCCGAAGCACGCTTGTCTACTTGACCACCAAGTATACCACTCCTTTCATTTCCTTTGGTGCTGTATCGTTTGCTATGCCATAGTAGGCAACCCACAAGTTGATACGCAACCCGTTATCTGGGCCAATAAGAATTCAAGGGGATTTGAAGTCCCGAACGAGAAAAATGTCTATATAAAGCGAGCAATTTCGCCTTTCTTTTTTCTCTTCTCTTCAGTTCGTTTTGGTACGCTTTGGTCTGTAGTACAGATGCACTGTTTGGTGCCATGATCAGGTCATTGCTTGTGCTGGCTATTGTCATAATTTTTTTGATGATCGGCAGATTCAGTGGTCCGCCCTGAAAGAAAATTTGCAATATATACCAGTGGGAATGTGGTCATATACTCCGGCAGCCGATCGTGAACCTTCGGGTGCATGTGATGCCAACGGTATATGTTGGGATAATTAAAACGAACTTTTTTTTTTACACAAATAAGAAAATGATAAACAAAATAAAAAATATATATTTCTTTTTCGCACTCTTCTTATAAACGTTTTACCGCTTTTGCCTCGCCTTTTTTTTATGTGCACGACAAGTTCCTTTTTCTTTTTTCGCGAACAAAAAGCTAATTACTCCCCTCTCCATCCATTCACAGCTCCGTGCTAAACCAAAGCGGGGAACAATGACAGTGGCTCAGTAACACGATCACAACGCGCTTTATCACGCTTTGGCACTTTTTTTTCACCTTCTGTGATCGCCCAAATTGCCAAAGTAATTGTCAAGAAAAAAATTGTTACCGAGGACCCTCCTTTAGAAAGAGGTTATTTTATAAGAGACAACGCTAGAGCATACGCCAGCAGACATGTATAATTGCCCAGATCTGTAAATTGGAAAGTTTTTTTTTTCAGCTGTTCGTCTCTCTCACTCTTCCTGCACGTAGCTTATCACAACACGATTTTCTTATCATTTTGGTTTTCACCTGGATCGAAAAACCTGCACTGACCATTTGTGATGCGACTGCTTTCAAAGCGTGATCTCTTGGACCTAACGTCAGTTCAAAGAGGAGAATGCGATAAAGCTCGCGCAAATAGTTCTTATGAATGTTAAACGCGTCGTAAACTCTTTGGTCTGCTCAAACTCGTTTCTTTTGAGTAGATCGCTGATGACGCCTGTAATATTAAAGTAGTTTGATGTTAGTGAGTAATTTTTATGCCAATGTGGTACGAAAATATTTGAGGGAAACAATGAGTCGGCAGTGCTAAGGTAAATAATAATGAGAAACACTATATAGATCCCGCTTGCATACTTTGGCTCATGCATAGATACCTGCTTCATGAAACTAATGAAGTTTGAAGGAGGCAAATGAACGCCTTCAACTCAACAAGCCATCTATGAAAGGAGTCACCTTGCTCGCCATTTCCTATTTCTTCTTCTTCTAAATGAACTTGCACCTGATGAATATGTGATTTCAATACTGGATTGGTATTATCATTTCTGTATAAATTGTTCTTATTGTTTTGCTTCTTGATTTAAACCATCATCACCTACCATCTAAAAATTTATACACGTATTCACATAAGCTCGACACATCAACCGTAACCATCATCAGGACAAATATGACAGGTATTAAGAAAACACACTGGTAATATATACACTTAGGTTTATAAAGGAAAGACCAATAAAGCTATATTGGTTTGTTGTTTAACGCAAGTTCTATCCCATCAAATTCTTGTTTTGAGATGCGAGTTTGTTGAGGCCAACATATGAAAACAGATGAATTATGCCAAAATCAGAAATAAGGGTCTGCCTTTATGGATAAATTGGTTCGTGTCATTTGGATGGAAAGGTTATTGTTAATGATGCTGGTGCTCCCATTGTGGGCGAGGTATCACTATTAGTATTGCTTCCTTTAGTGGTGGCGACAGGACATGGCAGCATGTTCCTTTAGCGACCAAGCATCCTATTGAATAGGTGGTATACATAAGGCTGTAATGACGCTATCACGAGGATTGGACACGCTGCTATTATACGGAATGGGTTAGTCGATGCTGTTGATACGGAGCGTGCTGCTATACTACTGCCAGCGCTTGCTGACGCATCGTTTCCTTGCATTCTTCCTCTGCTAATATTAATGTTATCGCTAAATTTTGCTGGGATGTGCTGAGGTTGCTGCAGAAGCTTGATCTGGCTGTGTAGCGTAGTTGCATGTAGCTGCTCTAACGAATACCGGATGCGTGGGACATCTAGCTAGCATGTGGATTGCGTCGATATGAACCATACTGTTGATCGTGCGTGACAAAGGGGCGATCGCGCAAAAGAAGCATCTCTTTTGTAATAGATAAACATTCTTCTCACCTTTCACAAACTATAGCTGCGGGAAAAACTTGTCATTTATTATAATATTTACAGATATGAATCGCAATAAAGTGTACCATAGCAGAGCTCGCACTAGCGCGATAACAATAAAGGTTTACCAACGAATCTTTTCTGGAAAATATTCAGCAATCAATTCTTGATAAAACGGTTTTAATTCCTCGACATCCGGTTCCTTTTCCGCCTTAGAATACAGATCATACTGATTAAATATCTTGACCCACTTCATCATTTCGGTATCAGTTTCACTCAAAAGCCATGAATAGCTGCCTTCGGTATGACAAGAGTAGAACGAATGGTTTCGGATGATATAGAGTGCTTGAGGAGGTAAGTAATCTTTACATACCATGGCCATATATTCGTCGTGACCAAAGCTTAAATGTACTTTGTCCAGTCCGCAGTTGGGTTCGTAGATGCCGTGCTTGGTAGAATAGACCGGATGGTCATAGTCTGGGTTCTTGACAAAGTATTCTGGGTGGACGATTTTGTTCGAGTATTGACAGCCGACCGGGAAAGTATCGCCAACGACCTATCAGTTGGTGTGAGAAGAGGAGATATCAGTACTGCTTTATGCTAGCAGCAAAAGGGTCTTTCTTAAAAATTGTGGGCCAGTGGATGGGATACAGGAGGAACGTTATCTCTTACCGTCCATTGTGCTTCTCCTTCGAAGAACATGTACTTGCCAAGATCATGGATCAAAGCAACCAAAATCATCCAGCGGGGCTGACCATCACGACGCGCTGCCTCTGCCGACTGCAACGCATGAACGGTTTGTGGCAATTCAATGTCGGGATCGCTTTCGTCCACCAGTCCGTTCAAGATTTCCAAAACCTCCCATATGCCCAAGTATGCCTTGTCCAATTTCCTGTATTTTTCCTTCATGGCTAACACATGGGCTACCGTCTGTTTCTCATGATTTTCCTTGTAAAAGGCAGAAACCGTCGGTTGGGCTTCCAGAGCGGTTTCATAGTTTCGGAACGCGGCTGTTTCTTTTGACGACTTGTTGCTGCCGTATTTTGTAATAAGGTATTCTTCCCATGCTTCAGTGACTCGAGCGGCTTCGCTTAGGTTTGAAATGTCTTTCATGTTTCAAGAGAGGTAAAAATAAAATTGGTGTGATGGAGAAGAACAAGCCAATAAACAGCGGTACCGCCTCCTTTTTATATGAACCAGAGGAAAAAGTAGCCTGGGAAGATTTTATAGTGTTCCGGCTTTTGTTTGCTATGATGCTTATGATGATATTAGCATGCACGCGCGCTAAAAGAAAGGAAGAATCAACCGGGTGATGGTGTTTATGTCAAACAAATCATAACTGCCTGATTAGTTACACTGTCGGCCGTCACCAACCGGATATTATCGACGTGAAATATCCAACGCATGCTTATCCTTTATAGGAATATCAGCGCCCCTATGTACTTTGCCTGTGTCAATCCGTGTGAAAACAAACATATCGGTGCATGCCGTATTTAGAGCTTGTCATCCGTAAAAGATATCGGTTGTAACACACATAAAAAATGCGCGAAACACTAAGCCCAATTTGTTCCATATTATCATCGTTATTGTAGCTGTCGACCACCTGGCATGGGTGGTGTTCATCCTGAATGCATCGCATAAATAAATACTGGGCTTCAACTTACTACTATCATATATAATAAGCGTTCAGTTTAGTTCACAAAGAATTGCCGTCACCACCCCTATGCTCTTATGTGATGATTTGCTCGAATATTTGTTTGTAAATGCACTTTTGCGGTCAGCTGTGTGAGTAATAAGAAGAGACCACTAGTAAAATTGAGCCATTGCACTCAATCTATTAATACCACGACGCTAGATGTGCTTTTTGTGCCAGGTAATCAAATACTTTATTGTTGCTGTTATCATTTTTCGCAAGCACCTTGTGATTAGATTTTCTTGGCGCAGCAAGCTATATAGACAAGGCGGCTCAAGAAATGGCACACAAACCTTGATTGAAATAGTATTATTCATGCAACATGGTTGATCTCATGTGTTGCTACTTACCAGCGTCGCTGCATACTATAAATTAGAGGAAAAGCACCACTCAATTGGAGATAATGGCAATAGAAATTAAAGACATCAGCTAGAATCTAGTGTCGGTTGGTAAAGATGATGACAGTGTATACTTTATGTTGTCTACTACTGCCAAGGAACTTATTATTAATGTTACACTATCTGGGCGTAGTCCACCGGCCTTGGCAGTCTCCATAATGGCCAAAGAATCCAGGTTTCTCGCACAGCAGCCTTTTATCATTATTACTGCTGTTGATATCTCTCATAATCCTATTGATTGTTTCGTTTGGAGTCACAAAAGTCATTGAAAAACGAAGAAAAAAGAAAAGAACATGGAACAGGTGGAGGAAGTGGCAGGTTTTAAAGCAATTAAGCTAGGTAATAGTAAAGCGGATCGGGCATTGAAACAAGGGCCCCTCTCGGTCTATAAAAGGGGATCTGCAAAAACCTTTTCGGCGCATTCGGTTGAAATATTTCGCCGTGTTTGCTTTAAAATATTTCGAGCTTCGGTGACACCATATAATCGTTGTTTTTTACTACCACCACCAATACCACTATTTTTGTTATATTTATATATGCCTTCACACGAAGCAGCAGATAGTCGAGACGAAACAGAACGTCGCGACGAGCGTAATATAAACGAAAACGACCTCGACGACGACGGAAATAACAACTCAAGTAGCAGTAATAATAGTCAGGAAGAACAAGAAGAAGAGGAACAGCCAAAAAAGTCTCGAAAGCCTGTAGGCAAGTCTTGAGTTCTTGTCTTTTTCTTATGGCTATGGAACCCCTAATTAATAAAGGATATGTTGCAATTAGATGGTGCATTTCGACAGCAACGGCTTCCGGCATGGCAGCCAGTACTTACACCACGCAATGTATTACCAGCATTCTTTATTGTTGGCATTTTATTTCTTCCCATTGGTGGTCTCTTGTACTGGTCCAATGGCCATGTATGTATAATCGAACAAGAGTTTCAATTTCACTTTAAATATAATACAACAAAGCAAACTCTAATGTCCTTGCTGCTATTCTCTTTCTTCTTTGTTTGAAAATATAGGTTGATGAGATCATGATCAATTACTCTTACTGCGGGCAGTATGAAAATCCAGTCTATCTAGCGCCAAATTTGTACAGTTACTTGATGTCGAAAGAGTTTGACGCCAGCAGTATCGAAGCACCTGCATACCATTATGAAAATGCATCTGAGTTCATGGATCCGGATTGGTCGAACCCAAACAACCTGACGATCCCACAATGCGTATTGGACTTCACGATCCCTTCTACCATGAAGGGTCCCGTGTACATGTATTATCGTCTTACCAACTTTTATCAAAACCATCGGCTTTATATCAAGAACTATGATCCTTTCCAATTGCTCGGTAATCGCGTATCGTCAGGAACATTGGAGACTAATTGTGGACCGCTGGCGAGTCGGGATGGTGGCGTTATTTATCCTTGTGGATTAGTGGCCAATTCCATGTTTAATGGTAAGAGTATATATACATATATTGATAGGTCGGCTTTGGAGGGTGGGTTGAATGATCATTGCTGTATGCTAAAGAATAATGATAATCAATAGACACGGCATCCAACTTAACATCAGTGACCACCGGAGGAAATTACACGTTCACAAGAAAGGGCATTGCATGGCCTGAAGACTTTCAAAAATATGGTACCAATACCGACTATGCTGACTCGGAATTGGTTCCTCCACCCAACTGGGCTTCGCGGTATCCAAATGGGCAATATGATGCAGACCATCCACCACCGAACCTGCACGATATGGAACGGCTGATGGTATGGATGCATATGGCGGCTTTGCCTGATTTCCGCAAGATCTGGGCGAGAAATGACAATGACGACCTTCCTGCAGGTCGATGGCGTGTTCATATCGATTTGAGTAAGTGTAACATAAATGTGTATACTTCCTTTTAAGTGGTTGGTTGGTATGATTTGCTAATCATTGGTACAATAATAGATTTCGAAACGTTACAATACGAAGGCACCAAATGGCTTGTATTGTCAACCACTACGCCGCTTGGTGGCCGCAATCCATACATCGGCATCGCATATCTGGCCATTGGTGGATTATGTGTTTTGGTTGGTTTGATCTTTTTATTGGCACAAATCATCAAACCAAGGTAAATTTATTTTGCTCGGTCGCAATGCACAGAGAAGAAAAACCGACTTTTTTTTATGCTTTGTGTCTGTGTGTGTGTATGGGGGGCTGATGGTCGCTGATTTAATCAATCAACTAACAACAATAACGTTAATAGAAAACTGGGTGATACCGATTATCTTTCTTGGCATAAGCCCGGTGGCGGCTTGCCTACCAACAAACGTCGCAAGAACTTGGAAAAGGCTGATTAGAAAACAGAATGGTATTTTGTGCCATGTACGACAAAGGTCGACAACAAGCAGCTTAATACATTAACGGCACGAAAAGGATCCCTTACATTCATCCATCCGCTAAATCCCCTTTTTGCTCGCTAAACTCCTTCCCCTTCTTATTCACAACACGCGCTTTTTCTGCTTCAACCATCCATATTCTTATTGTTCATTAGTATTCCTGCTGTCAATTGTTTGTCTTTTTTTCTAAAAAAAAATATTTTAGTTCGTTTCTTCTGGCAGAATTCCGCTCCAAATTTTTGATTTTACGTATCATTATAGACATCTTGGACTATATTAGTTATCAAGTTAGTATGTGCAAATGATAGGATGCGAGTAGGTTGTCAAGAATTATAACAGCAGCAGTAGGGGGGGAATGATTTGTCATGCGGCTACTACTTAGTGGTCCAGTAAGCTGCTATGCTTGTTACGTATCATGCTACGTTGTGGTAAGCATCCAAAATTTTAACAAGACCTCGTTCTTTAGCCTCGATGTTAACAATGCAAAAGCATGATATAAAAAATCTTATGCTGTATCCCCTTATCCCTTGTTTTTCCTCGCACATGATGTGCACATAACATAATGCACAGATGCGTCATACCATACATATATCGCTTGAGTTTTTACTTTGAGCTTTTTGCTGTTTGGTAACGAGACAGACAGTCTACAATGTATAGAGTCCGATGTAGGGATGGTAATGCAGTGGAGCCCGATGGTGTAACAATAAACATGTGTGTGACAGGTGTTGGTTTATCAAGTAGATCTTTTTTTTTATTCGATGCTCTGTGTGTGCATCATAAAGCTTGATTGCTGATAAGTGCTACTGTCTTTCTTTCCAACAAGAAATGAACCCAAGAGAGAGGTGGCTGAAAACAAACCCCAAAAAAAGAATCAATGCATCCGACGCATGTGTGTTTATACAGTCCTTGCAGCGTGTTGCTTGTTTCAAGCACACACACTCTCTTTTTCACCAGTTCAAGTAAACCTCTCGAGTAAGAAAGGGGGAAGTGCTTGGATGCAAAGGCTGAGGGAATTGAATAGGAGGCTTTTTTCATTCACATAGACTATTTGCTCTTTCTTTCTTTTACTTTTCACCTAACTCACTTTCTATTACTTTACGTTACTTTCTCCTCCGACTGTTTGCTAGCACGTAGACCCCCCTCGTCACACTCGTAGCGGATGAAAGAATAATATACCCTCAGTGGTTGACGGTCAGCGAAATATAATCCATAATAACCATCGAACATGTTTTCAGCAGTGTCTTATTTTGACTGGAATCGAATCTTGACATTGAATCGAGAGTATCCGACGGACGAGGAAGTAAAAAGCAGCGGCGAGACGATTCCGGATTGGGATAAAGTTCCGCAAACAACGGCATGGGAGCGATGGGCCTATTATTTTTATTAGCAAGTAAAAGAAAAAGAGGGGCGGGTGGGGCGACGATGAATCAAGCATAGCAGACGGAATAGAGTTAGAACGAGCGAGCAAGTTACTAATCCATCTTTCATCTAGTAACGGGGTATGTGTTCGACTTGCTTTACTTGTAAACAGTAGGCGAATATCGCTTGATCGACTAAAATGTAAACCACCCAATACATAAACGCGTATACAGAACAATGGAGTAAGCTTATATGTACATCTTATGCAAAAGAGAAAAGTATACTGCCATTTGCTAAAAATAAATAATGGTCCTCTCGTTATCAAACACAACAACAAAGATCAACTATTACAGCTATGTGCCCAATGTGATACAATACCTAACCGCGGAAAATGGATGGGATCCGAGCCAGGGTCCTCAGGGTGCAGTTCCGTGCGGTGAGAGCACATCGTGCGAGGTCCGTCTAGGCGGCTCCACGATCAGTGTGGACAGTCTGATTCTCTTGTACAATGGGCTAAACGCATTGATCCAGGCATTGGTATTGACGACCATAGGTAGAAAAAACATCACTTTTTCAATTTTGTTACTGGAGAAAACTCCACTCACTCTCATCATTGTCGTCGTCAAACAGGTTCACTAGCGGATTACGGTAACAACAGCCACAACATCCTACTCGTCGTGACAATCATTTCCTGTGCAGCCCAAATTGCATTTTTGGCATTCAACGAAGACGCTAGCCAATACTGGGGTGTTCCCTTCTTGGTTGCCTTGGTCTTCCAAGTCTCGTACGGTGCTTCGTTGGTGTTTTATTGGGCCATTTTCCCTTCCTTGGCCGTCAACGATCCCAAAGTCCGAGCAGCGAAACGAAACCCACATGTCAGTCAAGAAGAATATGCGGTGATTGAGTCCTTTTGTCGAAACCATATTTCTACGATATCCACTGCTTGGTCCAACATTGGTTTTTTTGTCATTTCTACTCTGAATATCATCATTGGCAATGCTTTGGCCATTCGCTATAATGTGTCCTGGGATGAAGTGCCTCAGTATGGTAACTCGATTTATAGTGCCATGTGTGGTGCTTATTGGCTGCTCTGTGGGATACCGTGGTTCATCGTGCAGAAAAAGAGACCAGGGCCGCCGTTGCCTGCGGATGCCAATTACTTCACTTATGGATGGAAAACACGTAACTACGTCTTCTTCTCCATTCTCATGTATACAAAGAGCCGCTTAAAGCAGAATACTAAACAGTATGCATGTATGTAATGTATAGTGGGCCTAGCGATAAAAGAATATCGACGGTTGCCACAAACATTCCTGTTCCTTGGTGCCTATTTCTTATTGAACGACGCTGTCTCGAGCATGAACAGTGTGACACAGGTGCTGACGGTCAGTTTGACGAACTACGATGGGTTGATGCAAACTTATCTCTCTCTTGTCCAAGCCGTTTGTTCCATCATTGGCTGCTTTTTATTTTTGCATGTTCAAAAGCGGTTTCACCTCTCGACAAAGACCATGCTGCAGATCTCGACTGGGTTTACGGCTATCATGCCCATTTGGTGCTGTATTGGGATCTGGAGTCCCACCATCGGGTTTCGTACCCAGGCTGAATTGTGGATTTATAACGCTTGGGTAAAAATAACTTTTCTACATATCGGAACTGCAAAAAATATTAAAGAGAGAGACTTTTTATCATGTAGTTTGGTATCTTTACTGCGCCATTCTATGCTTATTCTCAGACTTTGATGTAAGTGCATTGTTGGCATACCACTATTAATGGATGCGATGTAAAAAGTTTATATAGATAGCAAGAAACATTATTGCTAACAACAGACGAAACCCGCTTACTAGGTCCGAGTTAGTCCCCATCGGCAAAGAAAACATGTTCTTCTCCCTCTTTGGGATTGTTTCCAAAGTGGCCCAATTCTTTGGCCCTGCATTAATCGGAGGCGTGGTTGCAGCCACGAAAAACACACGTATTGGGTTCATTTTATGTGCCGTGGCCAATGTTTTACCCTTGATTGTTGTTGCTGCGATTAATATGGAACGGGCGGAGGTACGAGTGAAAGTGTATGAGGAACAGGAACGACGGAAATCGGAAACCAGTGTGGATGAACTTTTACAACATGGCCATCATCATAATTCGGACGACGATGACGACGACGACCAAGTTGTACATGAAGAAGTCTTTTATCTACCCCAACAGCAACCATCATTATCATCCGTGACACCCTCATCGAATCATCCAAAGTCGTCGGATGGATATCAAGGAGGCTATGGGTTCTGAAACGGCAACATAATAATTTGTACATTGTAAATATTACTTAATACTACTACTTACTACCACTACTACTATACTACTAGCTAGTAATTGCAATTTTTTGGCGTATCTTTCCATTGTTTTATTATTATTATTAATATGATGATGATGACGATACTACTATTTTCCTTTAAGAAAGAGAAGGAAAGGGATGGGGGGCATAAAAAAGAGTTGAATATTTACAGCGACAGAAAAGAGAAAAAGAAAAAAAACGAATGTGAGTGTGAGTGAATGTATGATAGCTAGAACATGATAGCTTTTGTTTTTTCTTTCTGTAGAGCACAAAGAACGTTAAGCAAAATGAGACACGAAGGGAGAGCAAAGATGGAGTAAAGGGGAGACGGTCGAGGAAATAGAAAGGAAATGTTATGGAATTAGAAAGCAAATGAGTACCCAAATAAAAGGAGTGAAGCAAAAATTAGGCCATGGAGATCATCTGTTGTCTCTTCAACTTGTCACACAAAGGCAAGTAGTGCTGAGCAGGCGTTTCGAGATGAGGATAGCGTTCAATCACATAATCGTAGACGAAGCGACAGAATTGACGTTGAATCCAGTTTAGCGGACAATTTTCTGGCAACTCGTTTGCTTTTCTTGGTCGTTGCCCTTCTTCTTCTTCTTCCACGTCAGGGTTCCAGTCATCCAAACTGTAATCCATACGGAACTGTTGTGCTTCCCACATCAATCGGAACTCTTCGCCGGTCAAGATGCCTTTCTTGTTTGAGTTTAGGCTTGAGATCTTGGGACCAAAGATTAGATCGTTGGCAAGGAAACGAGGAATCAAGTCGCTGCTGTCGTCGTCAAGAGGGGCACCGGTAGAAGATGGAGACGGTGGTGCTAACAGCTTTGCATTGGAACACAAGTCCTTGGTGGTCATGGTCATGGTGTGACCAAGGACGATCGACATGAGCGCGGGTGCTAAAAGTGGATATTTTCGGAACAGTTGATTGGCTGGCATGTCTGTTGCTGCTGTTGCCTCGTCTCGTTCCTTTTCCAAAATCGCCCGGAGGTCCCAATCGGGCATCACTGCATGCGCTAGATAGGTGTTGTGGTAATGCTGGTGTGGCTGTGGTTGTTGCTGAAGATGCTGTTGCTGCTGCTGCTGTTGCCGCATATAATGAGGATGATGCTGGGGAAATTGATGCTGTTGCTGTTGCTGTTGTAGATGTTGTACTGGATACGGATAGTACTGCTGCAATTGTTGTTGCTGCTGCTGCTGCAATAAGTGTTGCTGTTGCTGTTGCTGTTGCTGTTGCTGTGGATGGTCACTAAACACCAATTCCCACTGATCCACAACCGAGGACGTGAGGGACACTTGTGGCGGCGTTAAGTGATTGTTTGTCGATGATGAGGTCGACGAGTTATCCGAGCCGTTGCAGCCACTAATGTCATTAAAGGAGCTGTTGCCTAAAGAAGGAGGCGACAACGAGGCGGTGCGGTTTGATGATGGGACGGTGTGTGCAGCAGGTACAATCTTCTTGTTATCGTTGTTGTTATCGTCATCATCGTGATTGTTGCTGCCATGACTGCCATCACGGCTGCGTCGAGGGCTGATGCCTTCTCTGCACAAAACTAGCTTCAACCGCAGTGCATCGTTCTCCTTTTGTAGCTTGTCTGCCGTAGATCTTATCCAAGTTACTTCCAGTCTCAGCTGGTTGTTTTCTGCCTTTTGCTTCTGCACTTCGCCTTCTAACATTGAAATATATTCTACACACAAACATGTACACGCATTAGTTTGTGTGAAAACGATACAGAAAGAGAGAGAGGGGAGAGGGAAAGTTCTAAAGCTACGAAATATTAATATATATACCTTTGCGACGATTCCTGAATTTTCTAGCGGATATCTTATTTCTTAACTGCCGCCGTTCTTTGGAAGTCATCATTTTGAGCTGTGATTCTGACAAGTAGTCATCGTCGTCGTCTTCTGAACGATGGTGTTGCAGTTGGCTGCTGTGTTTGTGGCTGTTGTGGTAATCAAGATTATTTTGACTGCACATATCACCGCTACCGCCACCAAAAGTGATGGTGGATGCCGTTTCGGGTTTAAATTCCTCGACGGGTGCTACTGGATTGTTCCCCATAGAAGAAAAGGAAAGAGGAGGGGCAGCAGCAGCAGTATGGGTACCAACTGAAGAAGAGGAGGTGGAAGAGGAGGATGTAGTCTTGGTAGGTGCAGGAGCAGTACCCACGGGTACAGTGGAAGGCAAAAGAGGATAGTTTGTTGCTGCTGTTGATACCATTACAGGAGCAGCATTGTTGTTGTTGTTGACGTTGTTGCAACCAGTAGTTGTAGCAGTAGATGGAGCGATAGGTTCATTACTGCCCAAAAGGTACGGTAACAATTCAGGATTGGTCAAAGGAATGTTTGCATTAGGTGAACACGATTGCTGTTGTTGCTGTTGTTGACCAGCAGCAAGGTCGAATTCGGATCCTTGTGTTAAAATCCAATCAAGGAACGCGTTATTGTTGTTGCTCATTGAACGTGTGTGATTCTTCTGTAGGTTGTTCAGTAGTAATGGAAAAGAAGAAGGAAAGTAAACAAGGAAGAGTAGGAGTGTGTGAGAACTTGAAGCCTCCTTACTCTTTCGCTCTTAACTCGGGGAACCAACCAGTAAGGATTGTGCTGGCCTTGTGTGTGACACAAAAGTAATTTCTGGTCCGAGCCGGACTCAATGTTTCCATGGTCCCCCCCCACGCACCCTTTCAATTACGTGCACGGTGTCATACGAGAGATGGCATACACACAGCTAAAAGATGGTATGTTTACGAGTATACATGTGACGGTCTTGACCTAAAATAAACAAGGATGTGAGAGTTTCATATAGAATAGAAAAAACTTCAAAAAGACCTTCAAGTTTCAAAGATTATTGTATGTTGTAGTACTAGTTGTTGGAATTAAAGTGGCAAAGCGTTGTTGCAGTCCATTGATAAACTCGGGATCACGATATTTTTAACTACAAAACTCTTTTCACAAGGAACTATCGTTGCATAGCAGCAGTAGTATATGTTGTATTAACTGAACAGAGACCTAGAAAATCGGCAATGTTGTACTATTACTTAAAAGGTAATGTATACGGTTGATCGCTCGCAGCCGGCGTCTTACTTATGAGCGAGCGTGCGACGAGAGAAAGGAATTTTTTCATGATGGAGCACATCGTGGCGGGTTCACTGATCCGGATTATGTGGATCATGGTCCAACTCCGAAAGATGGACGCTCTTTTCCATTCAGAACGAAAGACCGTACTCGTAGATGGACTTATCAGTTGGCACTGTATACCTCTTACACTAGGCCCAAAATCGTAACCAGTACTGCTTCATATGCTATAATAAAAACATCGCACCGCTCATTGATTGCCATTAAGTTTCAAAGCTAGAGAGTCTTTCTGTTAACCCCACTTGATTGGTTTATTGACTGGAAGAACAAATGTATTTTACAACCAGTTCCTTGTCAACCAGCCCTCCCATATCTGGCGACACCTTTGAGCATAAATGCTCCACATGATCGTCCGATGCGACAATTTCCTGAAAAGCTACCTAAACCAGGACTTACCCCTACCGATATTTGCGTTTTGCTATCCATAATTTTAATTTGGAACTATGATAGTCGGACAAGACAGACCGCGTCGACGAACGGACCAAGTATCGAAGTATCTTTCCAGCCAGTACAAACTTACGGAACAAGTAACGAGAATAAGAATGCATCAGCCGCAAGTTATCATTCAGCGGGTGTGCAAGGATCTTAATATCAAATACATTTAGTATGACCAAATGTGTATTCCTCATATAAACAAAGCAACACGAAAAACGCAATATGCATTGAATACAGAGTGTATGTCTGATGCACTGTGGTATTGACTCCAGAATACCGTATCTATGTCGTCCGTTACAACAAACAACCTATCATTCGTGCTGTTCGTTCTTCGTAAACCGTGCTGGGTGCAACGTTTAAGGCATTGGAAAAGGCGCTCTGTTTGGTTGAGAGGTACATTTTTTAACGGTAACCACAACGCAGGAATATCATCGATCACATTGTTGATCTCTTGTCCGAATTATGCCAACACCTCACCCAACTGCTGTAGGTTGGTGGAGCGTTTGCAACTCTCTGTGGTACGCACATGATCGATCAATCATCAAAGATTATAACCGTGTCGTGTGTTTGCACATAACTACTGGCGAACAATGGAAATACGTGTTACTTTCCGGGAAACAATTTACGACGGACAATACTGCCCCTACGCGTTTCCCAATCATTAAAAAGATAGAGAGCAAGGAGGGCTTTGCGAAGCAATCGTTACATGTGAAATAGTACATTCCAGCTCCTCAAACGTTTTATGATCGAATGAACAACTGCGATTAGCACAGTAGTTGACTATATAAGGAAGTAAGATAATTTTGTACAATAGGAAAACTCCTGTACATGGGCGTGGTTGTTTTGGCTACTTGTTTAATGCTGTGGGGATATAGAACGCATGTAAGAGAGCAAACGAAGTGATAGTGATTGATTTTAGGATTAGTTCGTTTAAAAATGCTATATCCACGATGAGCATTATACGTGATCTAGGCCTTAAACTTGATGTGAAAAATATGTACAGCTTCTATTTCTTCATTTTGTTAAAGCCCTAGTGGTGAGGCTTTCAGAGTCTGGAAAGGTTAACATGGCTTAAAGTAAACATACTAGAAGCAAGGGCGCAGAGACATGGTCAGCGCCTCTTTCTTTGTGAACAGCCCAAGAAATTGGGCTGTTAGATTTTATCCGCTTTGGTTAGTAGGCACACGTAAACTTGCCGTGTTGCTCCTCGATTAGTGACAGAAAAGCATAATTATGTATAGAGTACATCATAGAATACATGATACATATAGTATACAGTAGAGTAGATTTCCGTTTACACATTCAGGCATGTTTCCAAAGATCAATGAAATTAAGCAATGTCGGAATTGTTTGAAATGCTTCTATATAGAGAGTTGAATGTAGAGTGCTATTATTGATGGTACCGGTACTCGTTGTATTTGGTGAGGCTTGATAGTATTGTGGATGTAATTAGAGAGGATTTTCATTGTATATTACTTGAATACAAGAACTAAACCACCCTATTAAAATTAATAGATTTAAAGCATTGGTTGCAATCTCTGGTGACACAAGATGTATCTTGAAAACACGCTGCATGCAAATGATCATATCCACGGTAATTATCTTTGTAGAGTTAGGAACGATCTACTACAGAACTACATACAGTATTAGCTGTATTAACAGCTCCTGAAGATACATCGGCACCCAGTTGATCAAGTCTGTGTAATGACTATAATAACCAATCGTCAAAACAGTGGTCAAAATGCATTATTGCATTCACTTTTTTTTGTTGTTGTTGTTGGTTTCACAAATAGCACAATATGCATGTACAACGCCAATATGAGTCAAGCGGATTATCTCGTCCCAATTCGTTTGATGGCAAAGGCCAAGAATGCTGCCACGCTAAAAAGTAAAGCTGGGAAAAGAGACGAGATACAAGAGCCGAGTCTCCCTATTGTTTGTTTGTTATACTAAATTCTGTGGTTGGGAAAAAGAGAGAAGGAACTGTTACATCGCGTCAGATTGCGCAAATGTTGGTCTATTAGGTTGCTTGGCTGTGAGCGTTTAGAGCGGAAGGTCAAATTGCCCACTGCAGTCGTACGAAGAAATGGAAGTGCAGGAAAGACTGACATAAACAACCTGGCAAAATAGAACGAAAGGTTTAGTTTGCTGCGTACTGGTGAAGGATCGCCGCTCTAATCCGAAAGATAAAAAACTTTGCACCGTGGCCCAAGTATATAATTCGACTGTTATGCAGATTACATGATCCTTTACAACTAAAGTTCTTGTGCATCCTGAAATACCTATCCTATACATGCCAAACTAGACCTTTTGAAGCATCCCTTTGCGGACTACCACGATGCGCTTGCCAACAAAAGGTCCCAATCCGTATATTTTGCCTACATTCGATCGCGTGTTTGAGTGTGTTTGTTGGTTGTGGTTGATGGCGCGAAAGGTGTAATCACCTGAATCGATTGCGCAATCGGTTAACGGGATTTTGCCCTTTTCCGATTTGGGCGTCATGTTTCACCTACAGAACCCAAATGTTTGACCACAAACGTATAAAAAGAAGTTTCTCTTTTTGATCGTCTCCCTCTTTTTACTACCCACCTGCTCCCCTTCTTCCCCTTCGCTCTTTCCTCTTTTTATAACCTTCTTATAACCTATCCAAAAGCCACAAAGAGCCTTTATTATTCTCTATACAATTATGCCTTCAACAAGGGAGGTCGTGATCGACTACGATGAGGTCAACTATCGCGAGGAGACGCAAAAATTCTTTCGTGATTTACCACACTTTGTCAAAGAATACATTATTGCCCTGCTACCTATCGCATCATGGATCCATCGCTACAACTTGATGGTATGTGCTGCTTTCATGCGAGTCTGATGTAATTCAGGGGAGCTGGTCTTTAACCTGTTGTCACTCTAAATAGTGGCTCGTTCGTGACCTGATTGCAGGTGTCACTGTCGGAATCGTTGTTGTTCCTCAAAGTATGGGTTACGCCAAAATCGCTGAACTTCCCGCAGAATACGGTCTTTAGTACGTATACATTGTTCTTTATCTTTCTAGAGAGAGGATATATATTAACCTGTGGGATTCATTACACAGCACTGCATTTGTTGGCCTATGTGTCTACTGTCTGTTTGCAACCTCCAAAGACATCTCAATTGGTCCTACCGGTAAGGAAGGAACTAGTTTATCCGCGAGCCGACCGACGCGTTTTGAGAAAAACTTTAAAAGAGAAAAGCTTGTTTTAATTAATTACATCATCTTCATCTTCATTATCAGCTGTCATGTCCCTGTTAGTCGGTCAATCGGTCACTCATGTTACTGCACAACATCCAGAAATTACCGCCCAGGAAATCGCTGTCGCATTCTCACTCATATGTGGCTCAATTGCCATGTTTATTGGTGTCGTGAGATTGGGCATTATTGTTGACTTTATTCCAGGTAAACAACAACGATTGAAAAGAGGGGTGATCACATGGCTTGGCGAGAATAAGCTTTAACCTTAAAAATTAACGTTAGGTCCTGCCATTGCTGGTTTCATGACGGGCTCAGCTATCACCATCACCATCGGTCAGTGCCCCAAGCTCTTTGGTATCCCAGGTATCAACACCCAGGATTCGCCCTATTTGATCTTTGGCAACTTTTTCAAATACTTGCCAGACACCAGAGTCGACGTTGCCTTTGGATTGGTGGGCCTGTTTTTCTTGTATGGTACTCGATTCCTTTGCAACTACTACTCCAAAAAGTATCCCAAGTATGCCATGCCCCTCTTTTTCGTCAGCATCATGCGCAATGGTGTTGTCGTCATCTTTGGTACCTTGATTGCCTTTTTGATCAACATTGGAAAAGAGACAAGCCCCATCTCTATCTTGAAAACCGTCCCTCCTGGATTCCAGGCCATGGCTGTCCCTAGCATTGGCGCAACCACAATTAGTTCCATCGCCGGCTCTTTGCCTTCCGGTGTCATTATTTTGATTTTGGAGCACGTTGCCATTGCCAAATCATTTGGCCGTATCAATGATTATACCATCAATGCTGATCAAGAAATCATTGCCATCGGCTTCACGAACATTTGGGCTGCATTCTTTGGGTAAGTCATCTTCTTATTTGCTGTATCCATAAAACATTTGCTTAGGTTTGTTTCGCTCGGTATGTACAGTGCCTACCCTTCGACTGGATCCTTCTCTCGTACAGCCATCAAAGCCCGTTCCGGTGTCAAGACGCCTATAGCCGGTATCTTTTCCGGCTTGGTCGTTGTTCTCGCACTGTATGCACTGACACCAGCTTTCTACTACATTCCCGACGCCATCCTTGCAGCTGTCGTTATCCATGCTGTTGCCGATCTCGTTTCAGGTCCAAGCTACGTGAAGCGTCTTGCAGCTGTCAGCTGGTGGGAACTTCTCGTATTTGTCGTCGCCGTCGTCGTCACGTTTTTCTCCACTGTCGACTACGGTATCTATGGCTCGCTCGGTTTGTCTATCGTTGTCTTGCTTTTCCGCATTGCTCGTCCACGTCTTTGGGCACTTGGCCGTGTCCCACTCACCAAGACGAATGACGACGATGTTGCTGCATCATCAGATGAAAAAACTGGTGCTAACACAACTGAGCTCGATCAACAACAACAGTTTCAGGAATTCTTGTATGTTCCGGTCAACCATCCATCTCTTGGTCGGCTCGTCGAGAAACTACCCCGTGGTGTTCTCATGTTCCGTATCGATGAATCAATGACTTATCCCAACTCGGGCTTCGTTGCTGACAAAATCATCAGCTATTGTAAAGAACAGACACGACGCGGCGGCAAGGTTTTGTCCAAAGGTGAACGTGCATGGAACGATGACGCCAATCCAAAGATTGAAGCCGCTCGGGCCTCATTGCCGAAAATGCATGCCTTGTTACTGGACTTTAGCGCTGTCAATCGATTGGATTCCAGTGGTTTACAAGCCATCGTCGATATGCAAAACACTTTAAACCGATATGCTGGTCATCACGTTGAGTTCCATTTCATCAACCTCAGCAACAACCCTTCGATTCGTCGAGCCTTGATCATTGCTGGCTTTGGTACACAGCCCCGTGTTCTGTTGGAAGACGATGAACAATCCTCGTCTGACGCTTCTGGTTCCGGTTCTAACCATCACAGTCATCATCATCATCATCAAGTTTCTACTGGCCCTGTTGAAGTCTTGCCCATTGTTCCTAACTCAAAAGACGGTCCTCATCACCAACGTCAACAAGCGCTCGAAGCATCCCTTCGTCGACAAGAAGATCTCGAGTCGAATTATATCAGTCAACGCTCAGAAGTCATCGACAAGAAGCATCATGATGATTATGAAATCGAACAGGTGTCGATCCATCTTCCCAAGGACAAGTATCCATTTTTCCACTGGAGCGCTGATGCAGCTGTGCGTGTGGCTATGCATACCTATGATACTGATCGTATCGATGGTCATGAAGATCAGAACGATGACAGCAGTAACGATGATCAGTCGCGCGCTTCTGTTGAAAAGGACAACAATGATGAAGAACAACAGCAGCCACGACACTAACTACGCCATCAAAGCGCTCTCTTCCTCCATAACATCTTTCCACCGTCCACATCGTCATTTTTACGAAAGCTGTTTACCTTCTCTTCGTCCAACTATTCCTATCATCTTTATTGGATATAAGCCATTGTATCATCAACGATTTATTCGTTTTATCCTTCCACTTTCTTCTCTCTCATCTTTCTTTTTTCCCTTGCCATTGTACTTGTATATTATGTTACCGATTCCGTTGTTCTTTCTCGTTACCCTTTCATCTAATTTTCCTTTTCTTTGTAGTGTATAATAGCTTTTAAACCAATATTAATTGGGATTTTGATACATCATTAACTTCTGCAAAGAACTTTAATTTTTTCTTGTTTTTGAAAAAATAATCTGCCCCTCATCCTGCATAGGATGAGGTATGTACTACAGTCGAAGACACGTGACATCATACATAACTATGTTCTTCTTCGTTCTTTAATATTACCTTAAAATACGCCGTTGTTGGCAGAAAAAAGAATATGACAACTTTGTTTGTCGTGCAAAAAATTCATTCATCGTCACAGTTACCCGGATTTTTCTTTTTTCTTCGTTCAGAATCATTTGCATTCCAAGATTTCCATTCAGCCATCGGAAAGATAATGATAGCGACAGCATGCTCCTGTCTTTTTGTTGCTGTGGCTCGCATAATTTAAAGTTTCACTACATGCTTATGTTGGTATATATAAAGTATGACCAGCAAATAACTTTATTATCGCTGGGACACAGGAAAATGTCCAGTCGCCTGACACTTTCGGCGTTCGCTTTTGTAGGATAAGGTTTTATAAAGATTTATATACTAGTGTCTACTCGTTTTTATGTATGCTTTGACTACCTACGTGAAACAATTTGGTGGTCCAGTAACAATAGTTGATTATGATGGAAGCAATAAGACATAGAAGATGACAGCGACGCATTTGTATACGGTATTAACCTATGACCCGTCTTTGCCTCTTCTGTGCAGACAAGCACAAAAGGAGCTGCAATCAAAAAGATCATGTTTGTAGCCATGACACGTGACAAGACATCACCATAACATGTATGAAACGGAAAATTGAACGTAAGCCATTTCATATATACCACACACTTTCCGCCTGAGCATAAAAGCGAATGTTTAATGCAATTGCAATATACCATTTAATGGAAAACAAAATAGCATACGCTGTTGTTGTTGTTGTCCTCATCACCAAACTTGATAATCATGTACTGTTTATCACTCGTTCTCAAACGCAGTAACAAATTCTATTTGCCTTCCAACGATAAATACATGGACCTTTAACTCGGCCAACCCAAACATAAAGTCTATTTTGATATCGACCGGATCACCCACTGAATATCCCTCCAAGGGTGGCATCCTGATAGGGAAATCAGCCATTTTGCGTACACCTGGATCTGTTACTTGACGAGGAATAGGCGCATCACCATCATATACATATAGATCCGCTAAAGTAAAAAACAGTGATAGCTTTTTAGTAATTGGGAGCTCTTTTCTCTCCCAAACTCAAGCACAACACGTACCTTCAGTGTTTCTTGGATACTTGACCCAAAAATGTCTGCTTATTTTTTGATTTACATGGATCGACTGACCCTTGAACGCCATGATATCGAAACGAGTCGAACAGCGTTTAATCCCATCACTCGTAATAACTGCACTCGACTCTGGGTCCAAACCTTCCTGAAATGCCATGCGTGTCATCAATCCATACGTGTTTCTCAATATCTTTGTAGCAATGAATGCAGGTTGGCTGATATGATATATGGCGCCACGCGCTACAGCCACATCTCCTCTCGGTGCCATGGCAACGGTGGGTATCCGGGGTTCAAAACGTTGCTTGACGGTCGTGTAAAGATATTCGGAACATCCGAAACCACCGACAAGGTACAGTGAGTTGACTTGCGGTGCCTGATCGAGTTGCTCCTGGATCAATGAAATGACTTGATCAAACACAGGCACATAGATTTTCGAGTCGAGTTCGGCTGCAGAAAGGAGGATGTTGCCGTCTTCGTCGATCAGATCGTCAATGTGTTGGCGCAACTGCATCATGGTTGCAGGTACGGTGAGGTACTGGTCGCCTTCACCGCAAAAATACGGCTACGAAAATAGAGTATTTTACTGTTGATAAGTAGAATTTATCGGACAAGAGCATAGAAACTCATACGTACCTTGATTTTTTCGACAAAGGATTCCATTATATTTTCCAATGTGCATGTGGACACATGCTCCGCGTAGCTGCCCAATCGATCCAACAACCATTGGCGCATATTGTTGTCAATATACGCACTGCCACATGTACCACCAGATCCTCGAGTAATTTCTTTCAATGACCGTGTTTCTCCAGACTTGTCGATTTGGCTAAGAAGAAAATAACAATAATTAGCATTGCGCTTCTTACAATTGTACTCGTCAATTATAACGTTTCAAAAAGAGGATCAATAGCTTACTATATGATAATATCCACAGTGCCGCCACCGGCATCCACAATCATAAAGGTATCTTGATCCTGCATATCATTCCAGCTCTCGCACTGTTTTTCAATATACATGGCAGCCGCTTCAGGTTCACCGACTAATACAAGTCGTTCTGGTGGATCGTCTGCTCGGATGATTCCTGCTTGGACCATGGCCTCACGCATGGTTGCTTTGGCTGTATCGTCCCATATCGCTGGAACTGTCAAGCACTTTTTTTAGATAAAATTACCATATGTAATTAGTAAAGCCTCTCTTTTCTTCATACATGCGCCAGCCACTTTTTTTAAAAGAAATGGACTTACATAACCAAATTGATCAACCGAGTATCGACCAGCACCCGTTCGCATCATTTGCTCCAAAACTGATTCATGAAACAACCGCAAAAAATCCGAAATGGCAACCACTGGCTCTTGACCATCCAATAAAGGTGGCGGCGGCGTTGTATTCTTGGCGAGCCATAATTTGAATTGGCGGATCAAAGTTCCATCCTGCCCTGGCTAATCATATATACAATTTCAACTTTCTCTTCCTTTTCTTATATGTATGAAAAGTGTGTCGTGGTTTCAAGTCTATATGCATTAGATACCTGAAGCGCTAGTCTTCGCGCACCATCACCCCAATCCACTAATCGGTTGGCTCGACCTTTATAGTATAACAAGCTGGGAACTTTGGCATAAAATCCAAAATGTTTCGGCCACTTTACTACGTCGTATATCTCATCGTCGTCTTCAAACTTGTAACTGCAGCCCTAAGTTACCCAAGAATAGATACATTCAAGTAACTAGACTCCACACGTACTTGGAAACAATTGTGAGAGCAAAAGAAGAAAAAAATCTCTTTACCGAGAATGTCGTTCCTGATTTTAAGAGAAAAGAAAAGAGCCAAATTGTTCAGGTTCATGAGCTACATTCTTGTCAAGAGTATGGAAAGCCAAGACAAAGCAATAACCCTACCAAAATCAATGGCGACAGTAACTGGGTACTTTCGAGCAACAGGCTCACCTGCTACACGATATGTGAGTCGTCGTTGAAGATGAGGCGTAGAAGCTTATGATGAGAAAACAGCAACACATGAGTACGAAATTAGGGACTTGGGTATTTTTGTCGAAAATAAAAGACACAAACTCACGGCTTTGCATGGAAAATAAGAGTTGTCCGCCCCCTTCTAACCGGGAAAAAGAAAACAACGCCAAGTAGATTTAAGCGAGCCCAATAGAGGTGATGAATAACGCTTATAGCCAATCAACCCAGCTTCCATGAATAATGAGAGGTCACAAAAAAACGTGATATATGATAAGTTGGTATATATAATATTTAAGAAATGTAACAAATGGAGAAAATAGAGAAAGATGTCGTGAATTGGGATATGGTTGTGGTGCGAGTGTGCTTTGTAGTGGGGTGAAGACATAATTTAAGTAAAGATAATCATGGGAGCCATGGATTCAAAGGTATTCAATAACGTTTCATCCTTTAGATAGTCCACTGGGAACTCGACCAAATGACCACGTACACCATCCAATGTTTGTTGGATATCTTCTGCCGTTCGTTCCGGATCTGCCACATGGCCATAGGCTACCTGGTTAGCATCCGGCACAAACTTGCGATGCTCATCAAAATTGCGGACCGTATCATCCGGCACACATCGGAACACGTCGCGATAAACTAGAGTATTGGCATTGGCTGTCTTGCGCCAAATGTTATAGTAACATCTGTCCGCCAATGGATCCAACGCCTGTGCTTCTTTCAAATGTTCTTGATCATGATCATGTTTCATGTGATGACGGTACTTGTCGAAAATACTGCGTGTACGCGACACTCGGTCAATGATACGTGCTACCTCGTCTCGTTCACAATCACGAATGTATTCGTTCTCAAGTTTGATATTGTTGTTGACGCCATCATCACCGTTGGCTGTAGCAGTGAGACCTTCTTCGACAGCGACTCCTTGACCCGTGCCAGCTGCGACAGTGTCGTAGCCAATACCTTCAGTCGCACATGTCTGTAAAGCATCATCGTCATCTTGATCCATCAGAACGTCCCAGTCATGGAAATCCAAAAGGCCCAAATGCTCTTTCCACAGCTGCATGCGAAGCGTATGCGCAAACTTGGCGGCCTGGTATTCTTTGCCGTCCATGTATGAGGGTATCATTTCGGTATCTTCAATGTAGACGGCCATTTCAGAGTCGCGGTTGCCCAACAACGATCTATAATAGCAAAGTTAGTCTCTGGGCTCGAACGGCGCCACAAACGTGTCACTTACCGATCGTTAATGTTTGCTGATTATCACGATGAAATAAATGCAATGTGGTTAGATTCGTGTGCATGCTCACATGACCTTCAAACAGCCCAGAAACCTTACCAGATCCAATCAAAACAATACGATCATCAACGATCATGAGCTTGTCGTGAATATAGACAAGCTCACTGACATAATGATCGCGACCATCTTGCTCTTCTTCAAGCTGCTGCTCTTCTTCTTCCTCGCCTGCTGACACATCACTAGTTCCGCCAGCAGAGGATTTCGATGACAGGGATGCCAGATCTTCTTGATGGCCACTACTCACCTTGAGATGATCGTTTTGTTCTCCTCCTTCACCTGGTGCGCCTTCCTCAGCCGGAGGAGCCGCAGGAGACATGTTTCCATTTCGTCGCTTCTTTTGTCGTCGCTTCATTCTGGGAATACGTGGAACAATCTTATCCCAATTACGAAGACTGTACCAGCCAATGTATTGTCCTGGATCAATGCCTTCTTCCCGTAACTTTTCGCAGATAGAGTTACCGCCACGGCTCATGGATATATATTGGAAATGCATGACACCACTTGAAAGCATATGCCCAATTAGATGAGGTGGAATAATTACTATATAACGACGCTCTCTTTTTCACTCTTTAAACTTACCGAGCACCAAGGGAATCACCAGTTGTTAAATCACCTTCAAAGGCAGGAATCAATGGAATCAAAATGAATACTTTGAACTTTTCATTATTATAGTGCGCTCGCTTGATGCGATCCACCAGCGCCTGGCCGATCTTGTTGCGAACAATCTTATCTTCTCCAGTAGCACTGATAAAGAATTGGTTCTCGATATAAATGAAGTATTTCGCTTGAATAATGGATTCCAAGTATGCGTTATAAATCGAGTGCTAGACACATTACAGTAATTAGGGATTAGTTTTTAAATTGGACATTAACCATTGTAATATATGAGATATGTACCTCTCGCTCGATACCAGAACTCCAACTCGAACAACTTCTCAATAACTGGACACGGCACGTTCCTTCGAAATTACTTTCGTCACGAAGTGCCACATATTCACCTTTGGGCATCAAGAACGGTACGATATTACGATGGCCACTCTTGCTAGTTTTGAGATAGTTCCATCGTTGGATAAATAATCGTGCAGCATCACGAGCGATGGGACCCACGACAGCACACGACATGTCATGCCATGGCATACGTGGAATTTCTTCTCGATCCACCAGTGATGTGTCATGATTAGCCACTACCAATTTTATACAGAAACGAATAGTTTTAGTATATAGAATAATTTGCCCGTTCATTTTCAAGCTACTACATCACATGTTTGTTTCGTTAATACTGTGTATAGGTACCATCAGAAAAGTCTTTGACGCGAGGACTGGAATAATCCTGGCCAGGGAACATCTTGTATTGGTGACCTTTGGCCGGGTAATCGGCATTCCGGTGTGCGTGTGTATCAAAGCGGCTGTTGTTTTTTGTTTTTAGTTTTTTGCTATTCTATAGTAACAACAACACGAAAGCATATAGAAAGAAAACTTACCCAAAGCATAAATCAATACCTCCAATGAATGCCAGTCTATTGTCTACCACAACGAGTTTCTACATCAAATTATAGATGTTAGCTACTAGAAGACTACGTTTGAGATGGCTTATGCTACGTGCCTCATGGTGAGACCAGAAAAAAATGGAACTGTTGTTATCAAACGCTCGTCGGTCGGGATGTCGTTGAACTAAAATACGTAACGTGCATGACAATGCATATCATGCAAGTTAAAATTTTTCTGTCCTGTTTTTTCTTTCCCACAAAAATGAACAAGATCAAGCCAGCCCCTCGCAAATAAACCCTACCGATGATGTTCGGATGTAATCCTTGCAGCCATTTCTTGGTATGTGCTGAGTCAATTGTAAGCGCCAACGACATTTCCTTGTAAACGATGATATACACCATAACGCCTTCTTTGGCTTTGCGTTGGAGTAATCGATCGATACGGAATTCTTGGTTCTTTTCTGGTGGACGTCGCAAATACTATTATGAAAGATAAACATACATTTAGTGTGATAATGATAAGTTCCACCTCTTCATCAGAATGACGGTGCCAAGAGCTTTGCCCTCTGGTTTGAGTTATTAGAGTTAGAGTATCACATACCAATTCGGGCGTCAACCACCAATCGGCAATATAGATTTCCGATTTGGCGGATAAAATGGCTTCTGCTACGGCGTTCATATGGTCTAATTATAATACACACATCATCCAGCAAAGAAAAACATCAGTTTTGCTAGGGACAAACATGGTAAACTCTTAGAATAGGTTGCACGACTTACTTTCGCCATCAACGAACCACTTGACCTTGGCTTTATGTCTGACGGGCGCGAACGAACTGAACCGATGGTTCTTGACCCACGGACTATCCTTCTTGACACGTTCAATACTGTCCATCCATTCATCCACCTCACGCCGGCTACCCTTGATTTCGATCTCTCGATATAACGTTGACAGCGTCATGTGGTAGCTGCCGATATAACTCGGCTGAGTGACGCGCACTTGGAACGTGTTATCTAACAACAGGACATCCGATGGTCCGGGCGCGGCAATATCATCACAAAAGGCAATGTACGAGTCGCGCAGCAAGACCCACTCCTTGTTCCACCTGTGCGTTTGCCAGAAATGACACATGTTTGGGTTCGAGTTGCGGACACGATTCTCCAAAAAGCCTTCTTTTCCCTTCCACCCCATGTCCTGGAAAATCGACACGGCCGACACTTCAAAGAATTCACAAATGTCATAACTGACCAACATGTGTGCTTTGGAGAGCAGGGCACGCAGATAGATCGTTAGAGCCACACGTCGGGTCAATGCGATCTCCTTTTTTTCGCCCTCTGTCTCGTTGCCTTCATTGAAGTCTGCATTCTCGTCGTCTTTGCGATCCAAACCAATGGTTGTTCTGGCTGAGCTGATCAAGCTGCGTAGCTGGTCCGGAAACTGCGGCGGAGCAGGCACATAGTCTGACAGACTGGATTTCAATTTCAAAGTGTAATGCAGCGTAACAAAGTCAGCTATCGTGCGCCGGATCACCCATTTGATGTCGCCGTATTGCAGCTCGGTCCGAAAGACCCATTGGCTGCCCCTGGTCATGTATTCAGAGTCTGTCACGGCAACCTGACATCATCGTTGGCGTTAGTCTCTTTCTCTCTTTTTCTTACAATTGTGGTGTCTACAGCAAATTGAATTGTTGAAGAGAGATCACTTACCGAGATCATTGGGAGTATTATGGGTGGCTAAGCCCTAGATAGTTAGTAAAGAAAATGCAGAATGCAAAGCGTCTCTCTCCCCGCATCGCGCGCAACAGTCTAACTTGACAAATTTTTACATACACGCCCGCATACACACACACACACACACTACAGCACGACCCACCCCCACCTTTTTTTTTTTTTGTGAAAAAAAGACGTACCAATTTTCTACCGTATTCATCTCGTGACAAGGCAATAAATGAAGGCTCAAATACAGGCGGATAAAAGGGCGCCAACGATGTTTTCAAGGATGGCGACATGTCCACATCCCGACCTTGTTCGGGAACTGTTTGGATATTGGCAATCATTTTGATCTTATCGACTGTTTTTCCCCACTGGTCACGCGCTCCTCCGACCTTGCTGGGTGACGATGGCGTTGTTGGTTCCGTCTCTTCAACTGCCGCTTCACCGGCTAGAGCTGGGACAGGTGCTGCAGCAGCAAGTGTCGAATCCTCTTCTTGTTGCTGACTGTCACTGCAGGCGCCTTCAGTGGAAGATTCTGCTGGCTCCCATTTCGCAACTCGCGTCAGTCGAGTTTTGGGTGCAACGTAGGGCGCTTGTATGGGCCGTGGCTGCTGTTCCTCTTCGTCTTCCATATCTTGTCGAAACGGGTGAGCAAAGAAGTTATCGCCTTCATCTGTAGTCTCCGTGCGTTTCAGATCGTCGACATAAGGCAACCGATCCTCGTCCTCGTCAGCACCCAAATATGCAATCGATGGTTGCTGTTGCTGCTCCTGTTGCTGCTGCTGAGATTCATCTCCATCGGCAGAAGTACTAGGAGCAGCAGCATCTGTACCAGCAGCACCTGTTGTTGCTACTGCCGCTGTTTCCGATGCTATTTCTCCCACAGTCTGTCGCTGTTCTGAACGTCGATATGGCCAACTAATATGATGATGATGATGTTTACGTCTATGATGGCGTCGACCAGGTAACAAATGAAACGTATCATCGTCAGTATCGTCCCCTGAGCTATTATCGGCTGCCGTGCTACTGCTTCCATGATCTGCTGTACCGACCGAAAGTCGGTTTAACACGTTTTTCAAATGGCTGCGTGGGTCGAATGAGTGGCCCAGTCCACTATCGCGAAGAGAAAAGCGTGATTCGCCAACACCACGATGAGAAGTCGACGCGTCGCTTCGACGTCCATTGCCGCCGTCATGGCGTTGTGAAAGGTATAACGCCGCTCCTTCTGAAATGGGGTTTGGCATTCAGAATAGAAAGAAGGATTAAGATTGAAACTTGGTTAACTGTTGCTGTTGCTGTTGGGAAAGTAACAAAAAAGTTTGGGAAAGAAGAAAAGACAATAACGAAAAAGGAAGAGACGGAAAAACGGTGTTAAAAAAGTAAAGCGCCTCTTTTTTGACACTGGCCCACAAAAAAAAAAGATAAAGAAGGGCGCAGTGCACCTGTGTGCTTTTGATATGGGTGCCTGACTGTGGGGTGAATACAGTAACAGGGCTCGGCTTTAAACGGGCATGGCACACTTCTAAATCGAGCAAAGTCTCGTTCTTTGGGTGTGGCTAAAAAATCGAGCTGCAAAAAAGAAAAAGGAGAGCCCTTCGCCACTGCTGTCCTCTTGATCTTTCTTTGCTGCTGTTGCTTAGCATTTTTCTGGTTGCCAAGTGGGGTTGCTAAGCCCTTTAATGGCGGTAATTTAGGTTATACAACAAACGCAATAAGTATTGTTCTTATCCGACGATACTGTCTGGATCAGTAGTCACGTGATGCAGCTGTGTTATATTTATGCCTAATTATACAGAAAAATTATCATATAATGCTGTGTATCCATCTTATCTATGTTCAAGGAAAGAAATCACATCATTTTTAGCTCGCTGCAATAATTGAAAGACTTCCACGACCGGCCTGACTTTGTTTCAACAGGAAGAAACGACGGGACATCGTCCACCACGAGCCGAAAATCGCTCTTTTCTTCTCTTACCAATGGCGAGCATGATATAGCCATGAAAGCTGTTATCATGTGTGATCATCGCAGCCAGTGAGCGCTACAGTATATACATCGTACATGCCCATCAACCTTGCAAGCTTCTTATCAAAGATCAATTTTCAAACATAGCATGAAAGTTTTAAACAGCAGTAAGATCGTTTGAAATAATCTGCGTAGCATCAATAAACAGAATGTAGTGCTTAATACAGAAGAGATTACTGTAGGAGCCAGCCTTTACACGGATGCAAATAGCTCACGGTGTACATAACACTGTTATTTCCGGCACAAGTCTGAGAAGCAACAGTAAACTATAACTAACGCTGTGTGAGAGAAAATGATAGGTTACAGTTGTTAAAGGCGATGCAGTATAGTCATCGAAAAAAGTAGTTAAAATATTTTATTTCACATGTACCGGTCGCTTTGTAGTACTCCTCATCTTTTTTGACAGCTGGAAAGCGGATGCAATCACCTTATATTTCATCCGTTCATATGATCCCATATTACGAATTACAGGAGATTCCGTTACCTCCTATTATCATATAATACTTTGCAATGATGATAAAAGTGCAGTGGAAAGACATATGGTGAAAAACCAATTGAGCAGGATTTTCCAAATATATAATAATGCGTGGTACTAAGTGTATAGCACTGATGGTTCTACCATCAATTCAAGGGACGACGGCGAGCCCAAGACATGGCTATACAAAGGAAATGCTATACCGTTTATTTAATTACAAAAGTCTCAGGGGTTGCAGTATAATCAGCGAAAAAGTACTCAGAGTTTTTTATTCTACATGTGCCGATTGCCTTGTAATGCTGTCCTTCCTTTTGTATGACTGGAAAACGACGATCGTGCCAAGAATGGAATTGGATCCCGGAAAGTATCGCATATCCTCCCTCATCTCCAGCAGTACCTTGGTCACTTTCATCTTCCGTGAGACTGAATGAAATTGATGCCACTTCCTTCGTGAAGAGTAGGCTACCGGTCCACCAGAACAAATTTTCCTTTTTAAGCGGTATCAAAAGCGCCAAAAGCTGGAGCTCTGGGGTGATGGCAAAGGATCGACGTTCAAACTCGAAAGAAACCAAACGAGAAAGATTTACTACTTTCCTCTTTTTGTGTCCAGGTAGCTGAACATATATTACAAGGTTGCCTATAACGAACTCCTCCTCAGCAAGGTGACCAGGGATAGGTGGTAAATCGTCGTACGTCCACGAACGTGGATCCTCCCCTGTGTCTGCTAGCATCTTGCTAATCACACTCGTACAAGTTACGTGCATGTATTGTCCGTCAATGTCAACAACGGCTACGCTATTTTCGGTATCGAAGAAACGGCCCTGTAAATGTGTTCCGCTAGCACCAGTCCATGATGGTAAATTGTACTTCTGCATCGGATTCTTTTCGGACCTTGCTTCTCCGAAGCACAAGACGCTTAGATCGCTCTTCGCCAGAAGGGCATAAAATTGGACCAATAAGTCGGACAAAGGCAGCTTATAATCGACGGTTATACCCTTAAGAATATCCGGAAACATGATTCCAAGTGCGAATACTCGGTCATGATCTTTGGTGGTCTTACGGTTATGCGCGTGGTGTAGGGTGTTACAAGCATTCCACCAACTTGCATCAGAGTGTAGTGGTTGCATACATAGGTGGTACAACGGTCCACACACATTCGTACGCTGTACATCCGACCAAGAATGTACGTCTCGACCAACAAATAACATCTTCCGCGACTGAAGTGCCTCTTCAAAGGTCCATAAACGTTGCAACCACTCTGGCTCGGGGGACCGTTCGCTAAAACCTGCTATACGAAAAGTTCTTGTGCCTGGCATACGGGATACTAGAGTACGAATTTCTGGAAGCAATACTACAGTGCAATAGGCGTTGCTGTATATATTATGCATCAGATGTATTTCCTGGTGCTTTGCCTGGGGATCGTCTTGGTTGATACACATTTGGTCAAACCAGAGGTATTTAATTCCAAAGTCATTGCACATTTGTTGGAGGATGCCCTCGAACTTGACAAATTTAACCTTGCGACCGATGCGCTTCCGTCCGCGTGGCTTTTTTCGTACCGTCTTGGCCGGAAAGATGATTCTGTGCTTCCCTTCGTCAACGCGCTTTGCCTTTCCCGTGTTTTTGTCAATGATCGTGTCTCCAGATTGATTCCACGAATATGACAGCGCACAGTATCCTTCACTTGCGGTCGACCCCGGAACCACCGTCATATCGGATATGCGAACGAGCCAAGTAGGGATAAACGTTGATTTCGGTAGCTGATGGAATCGCTGCGGTGGGGAATCATGGGGACCAGTAAGTCCGACTTTAGGATACGTAATGTTCACGCTGTCGTCACTTTTGTAGTACATTCTTTCCCTCCATTGTCTAGCGTTGTATGTGATGTACATTCCCTATACAATAGAGACTCTTTATTTTAGCTGCTTCGTTGAGAACATCTTCACCTCTACCGTACGCTGTGCTTTAGCACTTACTGCAACTGTGGCGATAACAGACGAATACGTTGAAAGATCGAGTGTTATGTGTAAAGACAGGGAGGAAGATAGAGCAGTTGAGATACTGGGAAAGATTACGTTCTATAAAGTAGGTAGAGACTTGTGAATGTATGATATCAATATTGAAAGAAAAGCAAAAAAAAAAAAGAAACCAAACAGAAAGGCTGTTCTGTTTTAGAGTTTCTATAGTGTAGCTCTGATGCTTCTGTGTAACTTCTATAATGGACACGAAAGCTTAAATAACGGCTGAGCGCAAAGATGACGCCTAGTGTTTATCAGGAAGGGGTGCGAATAATATTGCCAAGAACCACAGTTCGGTTTCCGGTGATAGGCATTTGCATCAAGGGGCTTCTTTTTTTATCTTGATCAACATGGCGTCCTATACAGCATAAACATTTTGGTAAATTAAGGCGACATATGCCGTGAAACGTAAGCATGCATATAAATTACTACACTACTATAAGCGATTACAACTATAAATAAATCCCTCAATCAAATAATATAGCTACAGACGCGGATTGTTGGGTTGTCATATCTTTGTCCATTAATGAAAGACTAGATGGACCGGTGGCTATGATGGAGAACAACTAAAAAAGAACCCCCGTAGGGGAAAAAGCTATGCTAGCGTAGAATAATACTATAAGTGTTGGTGGCGAAGAATAATATGAGTGTAAAGCAGGGTAAAGTATGGTTGGAAGGTAGAAGAGTTGGTTTTAATGGTGTTATTGTTCGGGTCATGGTGGTAGCGCAGGGCTTCTTCTGGAGCTGGCTCGTCGTCGTCATCGTTACAGCTGCCAACAGGGTGGCTTAAGCGGTCAATCTTCTTGAGGATGCGGAACAGAGCTGGCCAGGTTGTTGAATTGCTAATCAGTACAATAACGTCTTACACAATGCTTTTCAAGGATGACTACTCAGGCTTATAGGTCTATACATCAGCTTCAGTATCCAGATATTGCCACTTATTTTCAGCACAAGCCGTTGCCACGGGATACAAAATTGAAGACTGCCATTTTTTGCACAAAGTGTGCAGGTTATCGCCGGTAGCAAGTACAAACAAGCCACGTAGGCGAAAAAGCTCTGTTTGGGTAGCGCATGGGAGAATCCTTGTGGTAGGTCAGGACCAGTCAGTTCGCTAGCTTTGTATGGAACTCCTCTTTCGTAACTGTATTGTCCATACATACGTATTTTCTCACAAAAGTCTGGATCAAGAGTATCATATCGGAGTCATCGTCGCAGTAGTCACTGCAGGTTAACTCTTGCTGTATCATATTACGGACGGTCGGAAAACATGGCATTGCGCTACAATTTTTTGGCACTACAAGTACCTTTTTTTGTAATGTGAGCAGATGCTTCATGAGTGGCCGGTTTTGTAAAGCATGTGTGTCAGCGACTCCACTGAGATATGTGCAGTCTTGGAGAGACATATCTTCTTAGCTACCGTATTAATTAACAAAGAAACTTGTAAAACGAGTAATGATCCGGTATATTATGACTACGATGTGGATGGCAGATGAAGATATCATGTGAGCCATTTGACAGTTCATGGTAAGCAATGCTTCCATACTGTATTGGTAACAGCAGAAGGTTAAGCCAATTACATGATCTACTCTGATAGCGGGCACGACAATTGTAGCTACTGTATCACAATTATGTCCGTCCACTGGTATGTAGAAGCATAAAAGTACAGTTGGTGGTAACTGTATTTTGCGGGTATTCTCCCGAACTATTGGTTCTGATAAGATAAACAACAATACGTAAATTTAGTCGATCTATAGTCGATCACAAGAAGTAGCCATGAGCTCTCGTTGTCACTTTAAAAATTACAAAGCCAATGACAGCATGTGTGAACAGAGTGTGTGTAACACAAACGAGCTTGACATTTTGGTGCTAGCCTTGCGCTACGCGATAAAAAAGCATGCATGATAGTAACCGTCAAGATTCCCGGAAGTAAAAAACGCGGCCCCAGCATCACTACTACGGTAATAACAATTAACAGCGAACGTATTAAAACAGGTGTGTGTAGCTATAAAGCATCACCACTGCAACAGCAGCAGCAGGCCCGAAGATCAAGAGCAGAAACAGAAAGATAGCGGTTCCATCGTGTTGCGTTAGCTCGACCGCGCTTTTAACGCGTATGTAGAAGGACACGATCACTTTCCATCGTTAAAAGCGGTGAAGAGAATTCTGCTGCTCTCAGGCTGGACGTCGAGAATACTGTATTCAAGAAGCAGTAGAGCAACCTTACAGACGGCTTACATAATCTGCACAAACACACAACATCATCCAAACGATAAGAATTTAAAAGAACGAGCACTGCATCTCTTGGTCTGCCATCTAAGTTACTGATTGAACTCCAGAGCGTAAACGCGCAAGGTTTATAATTAAAGAGTGTAGGCCTTCCAAAATCTTTAACATGCCGAGAAGCGTGTAGGAATCAAGTCTGCTACTTGGATCACCGATTGCCAGTGCAGATCTCCCTTAAGACAATGCCACACATTAGCGATTTGAATGAAGTGTTTTCGCAGGAAGAGCTATCATGAACCCGGGGGCTCATTTATTATACTGCACAGTTCATAGCTGGTAGCCGCAGTCGCAAGAACTGCATGGGAGGCAGCCATCTTTGACTGCTCCGATTTTCATGCGCCCGTTTTGGATAGCCTAGACCTTGTGTAACTTTAGTGTCGAGTAAAAGAAAAAACGCGTCTTTTTATACTTTAACAAGTCGAGACACTCCATGAGAGCCGTGTAGAAAGACGAGACTAATGTGTACGTGTAGCCTGGCGTGTGCACATTGCAAAGGGGAATGTCGGTGTGGTTGCATTCCCAATGACTCGGGAGATGGCAGACCCATTGTCCAGTGTGCTTGCCGGTGTAACCTGGCATGGTCTGAATGGACAGGTGACCCTATCAACTTTCTTTTTTCCTTTTTGCATGGGGTGGGTGGGTCAGTTGAACAATTCGAAATGGAAGATTTCCAGCCCTGTGACTTTGACCAATTAATTCACCACGAAACGCTCCAATCACACGAATCAAAATTTCAACGACGCGTGAAGGAGAACGCATACCGTGTTTCCATTTTCATTGCCATCTAACCTAAGCAAGCCCAGCAGAAGCTGCCTTGAGCTGGTTACTGTGCTCGCCTTTTTCTTTACACTGCAAGGAGCTGTATCTGCTTTGCATATGGTAGGGCGTTGACTGCATCAGTTCACATCATGTCGCGCTTCCCATAATCGAGCTTGAGAGGTCAATATTCATCAAATCGCGATGAGAATGTAGAAAACAAGTTGACACCGCTTGAAATGTAATTTTGACGATTTACACATGGCACACGCGTGCGCAGTAAAAACAAATGGACAATCATATTGGTTTTCGCTCAGCACAAGGCTGGAAAGATTTATTAAGTGTTTTTATAAAAATATATTTCAAAGTTATAGAAAAGAAAGAAAGAGAGAGAGAAGGAGAGGGAGAGAAGGAGGGAGAGAGTGGTTTGCACTGCTCACATCTACGCGATGTTGCCCAACCACGCACTTACCCGCTCCATCTTCGCCTCCTGGGAGACATGCTCTTGTTGTTGTTCGTCGTCATCGTCGTCTTCGTGCTGCTCCTGGTCAGCAGCAGAGTCAACATCAACTTCAATGATGATGGTACTGTTGCTGCTGTCATCGCTGTCATCGCTGTGGTGGTGGCCGTCGTGGCCTCGATTGCGGCGCGGGCGGGGCTTGTCCTTGATAGCTGTGGTCACTTTTGTAACGCGACCTCCACGGGTGGTTTTGATCTTGGTGATCAGTGAAGTGATGAACTTACTTCCAGTTATCTTGTTTACGACCTTCATGCTTGCGTGAAAACCAGTGGAGAAGTAAAGCGGAAAGAGAGGGGAGGAGCAGAGTTTTAGTTGGGAAGGAACAGAATTTATAACTTTTTTATTCTAAGAGTAACACAAGGACAGAACTCATGCACACTGCTCCAATCATCCCCACACGCTTCATCACACGCTCTTGGTCTCTTTCGACTTTAGACCTTGGATGTCTCTGTCTTCTTGTCCATATCTCTTTCTATCTATCCCAGATACGTATGGCCAAACGAAAGTTAACCCACCGTCACCTACAACTTATGCACACGTCGTTGGTTACACACACTCTCACACGGCACTACTAGCAAGCTTGTATGTAGTCTGGTAAAAGCCATGCTTTAGCAAGTAAAATAAAGACACTTCATGAGAGCCACGTAGAAGGACAAGACTAGTGTGTACGTGTAGCCTGGAGTGTGCACATTGCAAAGGGGAATGTCAGGTTGGTCGCCATTCCTTGGGGAGATGGCAGACCCATTGTTCGACGTGTCCAGTGTGCTTGTGTGACGTTGGAAAGTGTCCACTCTCATTTTTTTCCTTTTTGGGGAACCAGTACCCGGAGTGCCAAGTGTAACAGCATTTTTATAACAAAAAGCATTGACTAGACGTAAGTTTTGCTGCCTCACTCATCTCTCTCTCTTCTCTCACTCAAGCACACATACACACTCTCCTTTTAAAAATGAAGACAACTACAAAAATCTACAGCGCAAAGGAGATCTCCGACACGATAACTACAAAGATAAGTGCTAATCGTGCTGGGAAAGTAACAAAGGTGGTTGTCGAGACCAAAACCAAGCGCAGCAGCAGCAGCAGCAGCAACCAGCAACAGCAACGGCAACAAGAACGTCGCTTTGCCGAGGAGATGAGCGAGCTGGCCAAGGAGATGATGAGCACCCTCGGTGCTGACAACGACAAAGAAAACGTCGACGCATAAACGTCACGTTCGTACTTCCCTCACCATCCCTACTTCATTAAATTAAATTAACAATAATTGAAAAAAGGCAGCATTGCGCTGTATAAGAAACAAAAGCCACGTCTTTTTCTGCTGTTGTGTTAGACATCTGTCCAAGTAATTTGGCTGGAAAGCAGTGCATCCCGTTTAATTGTCTTTCTGCTCTTTATCTTCTATAAGATTTGTTATTTTGTCTATACAGTGCCAGTTACGTCTGTTAGACTTTTAGTTTTAGCCAAGGCAGGGTGTCCCACAGCATCAAAAAGATATCAGCAGCTTCATTTAAGCTACCACTACAGTTACTCCTAGCGACTGCTATATAACAGCAATCTTCAAGGAAGAATCGATTGTAAAGGAACAGTTCTCGGTCACTCATACATGTACACGTATCTATGATACTTTTGAGAAACACGAAAACGAACTGCGGAATTATGTACGAAGTATGTATTGGGGCTCAATATTGAAAAACGGCGTTACATAAGTCGTGTATTCAAGGATGCATAAATGTATTTACCCAGGATGCCTCTACGACATTGGCAGGACCGATAACACCATATGTATATACATACAGACGACATGGCTGGGCAGTGTCGCGTAAGTCCCTTCTCATCTTCTCAGAAACACAAGCTGTCTCCACGTGTCAAACCTGGGTTGGTACCTTTTCCCTATGCTGTGTGGCCTGTGTGGGAACAGACAATCATCTATCACTAATCAGCATACTCATTCATTCTCTTCTGTCATCCCATATCTTAACATCTAAACATTACTGGTGCTAGTAAAGAAAAGCCCATTTGCCATAATCTCGCTAGTTTTCTCTATCCCCCTAAAGACTCGCTCAGCCCACAGGTGCCGTGATCTAGGCTGCTTATATTTGAACAAATAGAATCTCACCGTTTTTATTTGCTTGATACCTCAACGATCAAGAAAACACACTCGACATAGACACAATACTCACTAGTTAATCGGAGCTCATGCTGTCATAAGAAAGTGTCGAATAGAACGGTAGTTGAGCTTCAATTGATCATTGGGAATTTGTACTGCATTGTTTTCGATACAAAATGGCTATAGTCGCTGCATAAAAAACATACAGTCAACGAGAAAGTTTCGTGTTTTTCTCTCTCCAAATACACTGAGAATCAATTGAAAGCACTTTTTGCTAAAAACTACATGGATTTTAATCGTTAGTCTCCAGCTTTGATTATCTCAACATACATATAAATATATATATATATATATATTAGCAGCTATTCAAAGAACGTGTGAGCTGAAGGCGCAGCGCATGTGCCGCTTCCCAGATATATATATAAATTAGTAATGTTGACAGTAAGTACTGTACAGAAATGATAATAAGAGTAACAATATTTGTAAATACATACTTTCTGTGTGTCGTACAATGTCATTATTTGCAAATGTTATGAAAAGTATTAAAATACTAGGCACGCATGCTTTGCAAAACTTAAAATCCTGCTTAATGATTGGAGTAAGCATGTAGACATTGATAGTTCGGATTGGTACATGAGAAAGAGAAATTAAACAGCGGGCTCCTGGGGTCAAGAAGTACGATGTTGGTCGCTCGACTAATCAATCATCATATTCCAGTAGATTAGTGGGGTTTGCAAGTTAACGAGAAAAGTGTTACTTGTTTGATAGCTTCAAAAGCTAAGACAATAGCGAAAATTAAAAGTTAACGAGTGTGAAATAAAGACGTTCAACTGTACAGTAATAAAAAATTATCGAGTTACTGTATTGAGTTAACGAGCTTATACTAGGAGTACAACCTACTCTCTCATCCGTTATGATAAGTGAAGCTTTTTTCTTTGTGATGACACCGTATAAGTAATATTGTATTTCTTTGACTTTTTGTGGTTTATAATAATGCTGCGTAGAGGGATTTCATTGGTATACAGTTACCGAACGGTGATGAGTCAAAACACTCAAAGTATTTTAATCCTTTTGAAGGCTTCAAAACGCATCATTGAATATCGTATTGCCTACCGTTTTCGGTTATTGGAGCGACTAATTGACTCATCAAATTAGCGACTATCATATGCACGAATAACCTTATCGAGCGGGCACTGCTATATATATTTACTATCTACTGTAGAGCCCAATGCTGGAGTAATTTGCTTGCGGCTCAATCGAGAATCTGCACTTTGACGTCCTGTCAAATGCACGTTCAATGGAGCTGTACTGGCTTGGGTCAAACCCGAACGAATGATTGCCATAAGCACAAGCAACGTAACTATACCAACCAACAACGTTACATCACCAGATGGAAAAAGATTATAACGGCTAACAGAAATATAACCGTTATTAGTAGACGCCCCATTATAGCTAAGTATTAAGAACTGCTTATTCAAGAAGAGCAGCTATGGTGGCGTTCGACCGTATGTATCTCCTTGGCGTCTGTTCACATCAGTTAATTGATATCGCCGTGCTTTACTATTTACAGGCGATTATGGTGGACTTGCTACGTACTTGAACGTACCACGTCAGAAAAAGCTTCATGCAACAAGATTGCTGAGCACTGTAAAATTTGCTGAGCACTGTAAAATTAGCTCATTGAGCAAAAATATCATCTATAGCCAAAAAGAACAATGGATATGATGTTTGATGTGATAATAATAATAAATGATGTCAAAGAAGTTTCAAAGCACATAATGTACATTTCACCCAATTATATCTAGTACTGTAATCCTAGTTCAAGAACGCGGAGAAGTGTGTTATTGCGAAGAAGCATACTAGTTTATAAGTGTGGTGATGGTGGTGTATTTTAACAACAGGTTACAACGTTAGTAAATAACGACAACAGGGAGTAGAGAAATCCCAACAAGAGTTAATCTTATACAGTGCTCTTGATCATCGATTGCCATTATCGATATCGGTAAAGTTTTCAAAAATTATTACAAGGGGATGGCACTGCATCAGCTTTTAAAGAATGTTATGTGGTCTTCAGTAGAAAAAGATTTCATCATCGGCCATATATACACACGGCGGCACAGGAACATAACGCACCTCTAAGAACAGAGAAGGGCAGACATAATCAGAAGGCTATACTTAGAGTATACAATGTCACCAAAGTCACTCACTTACCATTCATCTTATAGATGGATCGCGGCCCCTGCCCTACCCTCCCATTGCTGGGAGACCCTGCACTTTAGTCTGGGCAACAGAACCTATCATAAAAACAGAAGAAAGTGAAGTAACAATCATCCCCTCACTCGCTCTTCCGCAGCACCAGTACACAGTCATTTCCACCCTCTCTCCCTTCTCGAAAGCCAACATACGTACCACACGCCAACAGACCCGCACTCAAGCGACGATCACCGAGATATCAATGAAGAGAGAGAGAGAGAATAGTTGATCGTGTGAGCGTGCAAGCATCGAACGATGATACACGTCCACACGCTCGACTCCAGGCCAAGATCCCACCCTACAGCTCACTACAGGTAAAGCCTCCTAGGGGTGTCTCTCATTGGTTCAGTTCCAAAGCACTAGGGAGCTTCCAAGAACCAAAACTTGCAAGATCGCACGGTCAAATGGCATGATCCCACTGTCAAGCGGCGATATCCCACGGTCGAGCGACGTCCCACACGTAGGCGGCGACATCCCGTCAGTCAAAGACCGCACGATCAAAGAAAGTCTGATCCGAGCCTTATGGCTCAAAGAGTACGAAATCCGAGGATTCACGTTCTTGAAAAACTGCCCCTTTTAACAATCTGCCGTACGGAGAAAGTAATGACAATGGAGTAACCAGTAAGCCAGTTGAAAAGAGTTAAGACAAGGAGCCGGTTTATATTGTTGCTGTGCAGTCTGTGAACCTTGCAGAGAAAAAGTAAGAGCAATTAAGCATCATGAAAGTTGAATCCTTTAACAAAGTGTGAAGTACTTACTGGGTGATTTGAATGATTCAAAATGAAACGCGTTCACCACGTCGAACTCAACGCCTGAAAGAACGCGCTTTTCTTCTAACATAATACATAGAATGACGCGGAATAAGAGAGCAGATAACCAAAAAAGAAGTCATAGAGAAAAGACTCACGAGAAGAAGACGAATTTTAGGAATTGCCAACTG